TTTTCATTTGCAAAGGGGCATAACTCAAGAACAGTAAAAGTGACGCCACCAAAATTCAAACTTGATCTGGGTTATGTGGTATTAAGCATTGTGTTTAAGTTTAAGTTAAATTGGGTTGAAGCAAACTATAGTTAGCGAATGGAAACCAATTTTGGGACATCATCTGACAGTTTTGACATGCAAGACAATTGGTAGAGCTCAACATCCTGCTGTTGTCAGATTTTCTCTCTTTTTAATGGTTTTCCAAATAATAGACAAAACTTTAATTTTACCCCGTATGTTCTATTTCAGCCATGTTAGCCATCTTGGTTGGTAGGCGAGTTAATCAGACATATTTTTTAAAAATCATATACCCTAATGATGATTGTTGCCAAGTTTGTTTAAATTTGTCCCAGCAGTTTTAGAGGAATTCTTTTTTGTAAAAGTTAACGGACGACGACGACGACGACGGACGACGGACGCCAAGTGATGAGAAAAAACCATTTGGTCAATAGAGCTAGGTGAGCTGAAAATAAATCAGTATGTTTTTTTGGAGAAAAAAAAATAATAGCATTGCATTTTCTATGGCATTCAGTATATGTAATAGATTATGTTATATGCATAATTTAAAATTTCAGCTTTGAACTATTTCTTACAAACTTTTAAATATAGAAACGCAAAATTTATTATAAATATGCACGATAACACTAAACATTTCTGCCTATGTTGACAATATGCACAATCACTTTTGTATGTTTACTTTTGTAATGATAAAAAAATGGAGGAACGGTAATGCATAACATTGTACCATTATTTTATAGTACTTGATTTGTGAAAATTGCTTCATTATTATGGGTCGATTTCAGTATTTCAAATGAGAAGTACTACAAAAGTACAAATGCAAACATAACTGTGTAGACTAAGAAGGAGGACTGACTCCCACTGTTATAATTCCTATAATCTAATAAGTTTTTCAAGAATGATAATTATGGTTATTTCAGCTCATTTATTGCTTGAATTTGTTAAATTTAAGACTCACGCATTGATGTAGCAACAGCTTTTTCCACTCTTGAGTGAGAGCACTACATGATATAAGATACATGTATAGTGAAATTCGTCACCGATATCAGCAGCATCATAAAGATGACACAGCCTTTCATTTCAATCAGTCCAATTTGCCCCAAAAATCGGGACAGTATTACAACATAACAACCACTGAACGAACTTTTAAAATCAGTGTAACAGGGGTTCGCCTCGTCAGTAAATAGCACAAAAAAATCAAAGAAGACATAAAGTACCAGTCTCAATTCTGCACGCATATACATGTTGTACTAACACAGAGTTTTAAGTTTTTAAGAACTTCATATAATATACTGCTGAATAAAACAAAAATCTGCAGTATGGATTTCATTTGGAACATAAAAAAATATATATGATAGAGAGAGACAGCTCTTGTCATTCGTCAGTTATTGATTTATTTCTTTTGACAGTTGCTTTAACATATTGTTTGTCATATATTATATCGTCATTACTTAACAGAAAACAATATCTTTTTCATCAGCACAGTAATGTTTACGTGCAGTGAACAGCTTGGGCGTTGAATGAAACAAAAATGAATTTCATCTTCACCAGAATACTTACATGAATACTATCTAAGATAATTACCCCTCCCCTCAAATGTCGTAATTAAAGTCAGTAAGGGAATGACAACTGTTTTCTTTTTTTACATTTTTGGTGAAAAGAATTTTAAAAATGGATGGATTTGTATGTCCTTAATGAGCCCATCTTCATGTCAACATTAAGATAACTAGTCTGTCCTCCAAACTACAGGGCAATTCAGGATTTAGTTATGAAATAGGATGAAAATTATCCAAACAACCACACCCCTTCTCAATAATCCTAAGGTCGTCTCTAATAACATTAACGGTACCAATGTTATTGCACCAGCCATTTTAGCAATTAATATCTCTTCAGTGATGTTGGAGACCTAAACAAAATCTGATAAAAATGTTGAATAGCTGAGCCATAAAGGACGTCAACTTGAGCTAAACCGACCAAGGTAGAAATGTCTTCTTTTTTTTGTTATCGTCTTGATAGTACGCTTTTTAAAACATTTTCGAAGTTTCTTTCTGACCATTTATGTTTTCAAGATTAGCAACAATAAAAAAAAACAACAAAAAAACCAAACACAAATCAAAATAGTTTCAGTTATGGGCAATAGGTCTAATATTAAAGGAGTCGTGCGGTAGTTTAAGTAAGACGTTCTTCACATTCTTAACACTTAATCTCTGTCAGATATTCTTAATCAAAATTTCTAATTTTAAGGGTTTTGATATACAAATAAGTTTAAATTGTATTTTACGACTTTGTATTCTATGTTAACCATTGCAGTCATATTTGGCGACCGGTGAGTTCATCGGAATCCTTCTTGCTTCCAGATTCTCATTACTAAAGGATAATGTGGCCAAATTTACTATGATATTGGGCTGGTAGTTTCAGTGGGATAATTGTAACGTTATATATATTGTGATCGATCATTTCATTTTCGGGTCGTGGTAGGTGGGTGTATGGGCCATGCGAATTTATTTTCGGATGGAATATTCATTGTTTTTTTTTTTTTGCAAATTTTCCTTTTCAAGTTATTACCATGTATTATATCATTCATTTTCAAATTCTCCGAGGCCCCTTCCCCTCCATTCATAAAGTGAGTATGGTCTGTATTTAACTCCAAAAAGGGCATGGTGTTTCGAAGTTCAAAATGAAACCTGCAAAAAATATACACATTTTTATATCGGACATAAAGCAAATTCAGCGGACAAAAAGCAAAACGGACCAAAAGCAACGGACAAAAAGCAAAAGTGTGGGACAAAAAGCAAAATTATCGGACAAAAAGCAAAACGGACAAAAAGCAACGGACAAAAAGCAAAAGTGTCGGACAAAAAGCAAAATTATCGGACAAAAAGCAAAACGGACAAAAAGCAACGGACAAAAAGCAAAAGTGTCGGACAAAAAGCAAAATTATCGGACAAAAAGCAAAAGCGGACAAAAGGCAAATTGCGGACAAAAAGCACCGTATCAGACGACGGGCGTATCATGCGCTCATGGCGCAGCTGTTTATTAATTTACCTTGGAGTTCTGTATACGTATTAGCGTTATACCTTTTGAGTAGTAAGAATAAAAAAGATAGAAATTATCGAACAACAGATGACCGGGTACAAGCTCGACTAAATAAAGCAACTAGTAATTATTCCACATCTTTTTATTTTTAAATAGATATTCATAGATGACCATCGTAATTTTTAACGTGTTAAATAATATACATTGATTTTGAAAAAAAAAAAAAAACAGTTTTTCCACACACGCTATCAATATTTATTGATAAGGACAAGCATGAGACCTCCCGCAAAATTTGTGTAAAAAATCTTTTATTATTTTTGTTTCAGAATTTTTCATAAACATTAACAAGTGCATTTAGGCCTGCCTATTTTCATAACCTTCATCTGAAGATGGTTTAGGTAAACGTCAACAAGCAAACGAAAAAATAACAACAGTAGTTTTCTTTGACGTGTTTCTTCCAACATTTTTCACGTGTCTATACAATATATCCAGCCATTCGTCGTCCCAACTCCATAAAAGATGGGAATGCATTATTGGGAAAGAATTATAATCTTTTTTAGTAATATATCCATGCAATTACATTCATCAATTATCTAAACGCGACGGAATGTACATGTGAAGCAGGAGCTACTAACTCTACTTGGACAAATAAGTCCCCCCCCCCCCCCCCGCAGTTTTTTTGTAGTTTATTGTTTGTCCTTTCGACGTTTGTCGTTGCATTGGTGTTCGTCAGCTGTGTACATACAAATAACGATTAGTATTGCCCCCTTAGGGTCATCTTGTTAAAGTTTTAGATGTACGACAAATAATATATGAAACATAAATAATCGGAAGCTACAAAAAATAGGTAAACGTTGAACATTTGTGAATTTCCTGTTCTTAGTTATATTGACTGTTACTGCTCCATAATACTGCGAGGTTATGGTTAAATCTACCCATAGAAGATAGTCATTACATTGAAATGGGTAAACTATTAGGCTGTACGGCTGTCAACGTATATTTGTTCCGCATTACAGAAGTTCCACTGGAAACTTTGTTATAAACAATGTCATGATATCTGTTCCTGTTTGAACAAATATTCTATACCATTTATTCCGTAAGGAACATTTACTGTAATATTTATTCCAGTGGAAATAATATTCCAGAATATTGTTTCCATTTGGAACTTATATTATGAAGGAACTTCTATTCCGTGACACGGCGACCTATATATAATTACTTAAATCCACGTCATTTTAACTGACTAGTTGTCTCATTGGCAGTCATACCACATCTCCTTATTTTTATATCATAGATATACATGATATATGTGTTAGAGTTTTGAAATGAATATGTTTTATCATATAATACCCACAGTAAACAGTAGGTTGACCTCTAGTAAGTCTTTTTTGTATCGTTGTTGCCTTATCGACGTATTCTCCACATCTCTTATCATTCATTTCTAAATGTCAGGTTTGTATGTACATTAAATGAAGTCGCATATATCAAATCGGATTATATATATATATATATATATATATATAAATTTACAGTGATTGTATGCTTCTAAAAATAGAACAGCATCCTGTAATTATACTAAAGAGATGAGTAGATGATCATTTCTGTACACTTAAAATACTTTGTGTATTGCGTCTAGATGTCCTTGTTTAATTCCTACGAGAAGGTAACACCTCCCGAAACGAAAGCTGATTTTATATCAGCTATAGTTAGAGGAGGGGATAAGGCGTCTGCGCAATGCTAGGCGGTGTTGCCGTAGAAGTATGAAGTGAAAAGTACAGGTTCCAGCCCCGCTTGGGGAGGAAGTAAAGAATCAAATCTACTCTAACATTGTTAGGTTGATTTTCTAGGCACTTTATATATATATATATATATATATATATATCTATTCCTACATATTTACTTACCTCAAATAGTATGTCAAGGAAGTCAAAGTTATCCCGGTGCGGGATTACCTAAACAGAGTTATTTAAAATCATGACGTATTCAATTCAAAATGATCAATATAAATATTTATAAATGACCTTCGTCCTATTTACTATATTTAAAACTAATACTTATGGAGAACACCATTTATCTCGATCTGTAAATATTATGCATGTAAAGGCTTAAATATGTTGATATGTTTAAAGATTTTAAAGACGTTTTGTAAAGATTTTCCCAAAACAAGTAAATAGAAAACTAAACAGTATTTATTACCGCTAACACATAATCAATTAATGTTTATGACATGAAATGCAACAACAACAACAAAAAAACTGTTGACACAGAAATATGTCTGCAATTTTGATAACATGCAAATGTTGAAATTAAAATAGTAATATTTTAACATGTCAACTCTGCAAAATTTCAGTCAATAAACCATGCATGAGGGGGCAGGGCCAAATAATCTCCATGGAATATGACGTGCCAATACCACGAATACTGCTACAACTGTATACTTCAAAGTACCATTACTTATTCCCCGTAAACTGACCTAATCACAAAATTTTAACAAATTGGTGACGTCGCCGCCGGAAACAGCATACTTAAGTCTCGTTTCTTGAATCCTTCAAGGCGAGATAAAAAAAACTGAACAATTCTTTAATCATAACATGGGAAAGAGACTTGTTTTTCCAATGTTTACATTGCATAAGTTATTGTATTTAATGTAGACTGAATAAAATGACTTTTTTTTCTTTCAATAACATCAACGATACAAACTTTATTGCACCAGATGCCCATTTCGACAATTTATGTTGGCAGTGGCAATTTTGCCTAAGTGAGCGGAAGCGAATTTTGCCAGGAAAAATGATTTATTTTACAGATATATTCAATTTAAAAAACTGAGTCTTATTTCAAAGGCAGATTTGATTTAAACATTTTTGATTTTGTTAGATTGTATAATGTTTTATCAAATTTATATGCAATGAGATTTTTAACTTTTATTTTTTTACAACACCATGATACAGTTAAAAAAATCTGAGATTTTATTCTTATGAATACATGTAGGATAAGAATTTGACTGATTTCAGAAGTAATTTCTACAACATATTTTGATATGACTTCATTGCTAGAAATGGAAACTCAATATTTTTATTTTTTCTTACAATTTTTTATTTTCACTTTCAAAATTGATAAATGTTTGTAAACGGTAATATGTATCTTAAATACTGTTGCTGTTATCTTATTTAACTATATGAGTGATAATTTGATTCTTTTATGTTGGTAATGCACATTTTCGTAGTACTTTTTAAAAGTATATAATCAAATTCACTCTTAACAAAGAACCGACAAAATAACAAATTCACCATATTGCCGGCGCCGGCAAAATAGCCATTGCTATAGAAATATGTTATTTTACCGGCTTTAATTAAGACATTTTAATCAAGGCTGGGAAAAGTTTATCTAACAATATATATGTTCCTGATCAAAGCCGCCAAAATAGCAAATAGCGAAGTATTGTAGGGCTGATAACACAAAAAAGGTTAAGATATAGGTAAACACGAGCAAAGAAGAACAGCTTTGAATATAGTATATATATTATATCGGGATTCAAATCTACTGTAATACACGTGAGAGGTTTAGCTAGCTATAAAACCAGGTTTAATCCACCATTATTTACATAAGGACATGCCTGTACCAAGTCAGGAATATGACAGTTGTTTTCTATTCGTTTGATGTATTTGAGTTTTTGTTTTTGCCATTTGATAATGGACTTTCCGTTTTGAATTTTCCTTGGAGTTTGGTATTTTTGTTATTTTACTTTTTAGGTGCAATGACCTCTTACTCTCTTCTTCTCGGGAGTTTGTAGACATATATTTTACTGTGTGTAGGCTGGGAGTGTTTTAATGACACTGATAATTAAGAAATTGCCTGTGTTAAACAGATTACCTCGGTGGTATCGTATTCGGGAGGTCGTGTGTTTGAATCCCGGCCTGATCAAACCAGACTTTAAAATTGGTATTGCTGCTTCATGGGGCTAGCTAATCACGCGGCATTAAGGAGTAACAGCAAAGACTGATCAGCTCAGAGTCAGTATAATGTGTCCGAGTAAGTTGACATGTCTCCTGCCGACTGTTTTCTACCCAGGAATAGTTTATCTATAACTAGCTGTATTTGGCAAAACCTCTCAGAATTTTGGTCCTCGATGCTCTTCAGCTTCGTACTATATTGCCTTTTTTCGGTTCGAGCTTCCCTGATGAGTCCTTTAAGAACGAAATGCGAGTCTGACGTTAAAAAAATAAACCTGATATCTTGGTGTGGTATATTTTTTGCCTTGTGAACTAGCACGTTAAAAATCAGACTCAGTGTGACCTTCTTGTACAAAGCAGGGTTAGAAGTCATATTACAATAGCATGTTTTCGTCACGATTATGCATTTAAATTGCCGCCGAATGTTTAATAGTCATCCATTAATATCAGTTAAATTATTCCAATATGTAAAAAGGGGGGTATTTAATTATAACTAAGACACTCTAAATGACAAAAACAAATACAAAAGGTGTATTTCTGTTGTTTTATTTTTGTTTTTGTTTTTTTTTTCTTTCATTGACGTTTTTAAAAATTGCGCAACACTTTAAAAATGAATCAGAATAATCATTTCCAACAATTAAGACAAAGAAAATTCCAGCCATATTTAATTTAACCGTTTAACTGATTCTTTAGAAGATTACTAATGAATTTTCAACATATCTTACTTAATTTACAGGCAGCAGAATCATCTAAGAAACTAGATGTGTCGAAACAACACGAATGGTCCGGTCCGCCAAAGTTATTTTTTTTTAACGATAATTTAAGAATGAAAGTCTGTACAACTGTTATTCTTCACGAAATTTCAATGCCCAAAGCCTGTAATTTCAGCAAAAACCAATGGAGCTGAACCAAACATAAACTTGATCTGTTACTTATCATAATAGTCCCACATATTAAAAATTTGTAAGGGGTTCCGCGGAACCATGTGTCTCTCTTGCAATTGCTGCTGTCATTGTTAAAGTGTAATGCTGACTTAAAAAGTGAGTCCATTTATCAGTAAGATACAGAATTTTAAAAAAATTCAAACTTTTTCTTAAGATGCTATTTCTTGGTCTTGAAGATTATCTTCTGTCAAAGTTTCATAACAATCTATGAAGGTTTACAAATTAATCATGTCAAAAATATTTTATCCCAGACTCTATAAATGTTAACTAAAAACGTGGTCCATCTATCAGAAAATACTAAAAATGAAAAAAAAAAAAAAAAAAATTTCAAAGGTTTGCTTCAGACAGTATCTCTTAATCATTAAAAAGCTTCTGCAATAGTTTAATAAAACTCTTTGAAGGTTTGACAAAGTAACTGAAGTGTAACAAACTTTTACTATGTGAAGGTGTTTTATAGAAAAAAGTCCGTACAACTGTTATTTTCACAAAATTTTCTAAGTCCAAAGCCTTTCACGAATGTCAGCAAAAATCAGTGGAGCGGAACCAAACGTTAACTTGATATGTAACTCATCATAAAAAAAAATCAGCACAATATGAGAAGGCTTTTAGAAAAAAAAGTCTGTGTAACTGCTATTTTCATGAAATTTTCAAAGTCCAAAGCCTGTATTTTCGGATAAAATCAGCGGAGCCGAACCAAACGTGAACTCGAATCTGTACCTCATCATAGATGACTCAAATGCTAAAAACCAGCTCAATATGTAAAGGTCTTTAGAAAAAAGTCTGTGTAACTGTTCGTTGCAGAATGACGGATAAGGGTAAACCTATATGGCCTTCGTGCTGACAACTTTGTTGCGGGGCCATAAACAAGAGGCTCATGAGAGCCTGATATCGCTCACCTGTAATTTCAGTTTCAGGCATTTGACTTATTTGTAGATCTTACTTTGCTGAACAATTTTGTCATTTACACTTACTCTCTTTCTATAATAATATTAAAGATAATAAATAACCCAAAACTGTCAAATTTCCAAAAAAATAACTATTTCTGGACAGTAAACCAACAATAAGTTGTCCTATTGGTCTGAAGATTACTTGACAGGTAGATCTAAACCGGTTTAACACTTTCCCCTATGTCAGTTTTGCTCTTACTGCTTTAGTTTTTGAGATGAAAGCCAAAAACTTCATTTGACCCCTATGTTCTATTTTTAAAAAACTGCCGCCATGTTTTTGAAAGGATCATGCAAATCCCCGAATAAAATCCATAAACTAGATACTCTAAGGAACATTCAATTAAAGTTTTTAATTATTTGACCAAGTAGTTTCAGAGAAGAAGATTTTTGAAAAAATAATTAGACTTTCACAAAAAATTGAAAAAAAAAAACGTTTTAAGGGCAATAACTCCTTAAGGGGTCAATTGACTATTTTGATCATGTTGACTTATTTGTAGATCTTATTTAGCTGAACATTTATTGCCATTTATACTTTCTCTCTATCTATTATAGTATTAAAGAAAATAACCAAAAACAGTAAAATTTAATAAAAATAAACTATTTCCAACAGTAACCCAACAATGGGTTGTCGAACTTGTCTGATAGATATCTCAAAAACTAAAGCAGTAAGAGCAAAACTGACATAGGGGAAAGTGTTAAACCGGTTTAGATCTACCTGTCAAGTAATCTTCAGACCAATAGGACAACTTATTGTTGGTTTACTGTCCAGAAATAGTTATTTTTTTGGAAATTTGACAGTTTTGGGTTATTTATTATCTTTAATATTATTATAGAAAGAGAGTAAGTGTAAATGACAAAATTGTTCAGCAAAGTAAGATCTACAAATAAGTCATTTATTACTTTAACTCCTTTCACTTTTGCTCTAACTGCTGTAGTTTTTGAGAAAAACTGCTTTTGTCCCTTATGTTCTATTCTTAGCCATGGCAGCCATGTTTGTTGATAGATCAAAATTTCAGATACAATTTATAAACTAGATACCCTAAGGAACATTCAGTTAAAGTTTGGAAGTATTGGCCCAGTAGTTTCAGAGGGGAAGATTTTTGAAAAAGTAATAGATTTGCACGAAAAAATGTAAAAAATAAACGTTTCATGGGCAATAACTTCTTAAGGAGTCAATTGACTATTTTGATCATTTGACTTATTTGTAGATCTTACTTAGCTGAAGATTTTTGCCTTTTACACTTTCTCTGTATTATAATATTAAAGATAATAACCGAAAACAGTAAAATTTCATAAAAAATAAACTATTTCAGACAGTTATCCTACAATGGGTGGTCCAATTAGTCTGAACATTTCATAGCAGATTCACTTTTGCTCTAACTGCTATATTTTTGAGATAAAAGCCAAAAACTTGATTTGACCCATATGTTTTATTTTAGCCATGGAGGCCATGTTTGTTAATGGATCAAAACTTCTGATACAATCTATAAACAAGTTTTCCTAAGGAACATTCAGTTAAAGTTTCAAAGTATTAGGCTGCAAAATTGTGCTTAAAATTACCAATTTAGTGGCAGCAACCCAACAATGGGTTGTTCGGGTTGTATGAAAATTTCAGGGCTGACTGATCTTGACCTATTGAACATTTTTACCCCATCAGATAAGCTCTAAATGCTTTAGTGTTTGAGATATAAGCCAAACACTGCATTTGACCCCTATGTTCTATTTTTAGCCATGGTGGCCATGTTTGTTGATGGATCAAAACTTCGGAAACAATTTATAAACTAGATACCCTAAGAAACATTCAGTTAAAGTCTGAAGGTATTTGGCCCAGTAGTTTCAGAGGAGAAGATTCTTAAAATTGTTTACGACGACGACAGACGACGGATGCCAATTGATGGCATAACCTCACATGGCCCTTTTGGCACACTCTGATGAGACACTCTGCAAAAAATAAAAGGCAGGATGACAATTTCTGTAAAAAAAAAGTCAGGATAAACTAACAAAAAAAAGCAGGACTGAGTAGAATGAAAAATAAAAATGCAGGACAGAGATTACAACTTAAAAAAAAATGCAGGACAAAATTTTTCATCCTAGCCCCCCATAAAAATCAGATGGTAGCTCCCTAAGTCAAAGTAGACAAGACTATACTTAAAAGAAACAAGAATGCACACGCTGAAATGTCTCGCCTGCTTTACTGACCATTGATTTATTTTATGTTGATAGTCCTAAATATAAAGCTTTACTACAAGTATCACATAAACTTAACATGATCCAAGAAAATGAGGTCAAGGTCAGATAAACCAAACCGGAAATACATGTTTACCTTACAATCATTCCATACACAAAATACAGTTGACCTATTGCTTATAGTTTCTTAGAAAAGAACTTAACCAGGAAAACTTAACATTGACCAATGAACCATGAAAATGAGGCCAAGGTCAGATAAACTATGCCAGACAGACATGTACACTTACAATCAATCTATGCATTAAATATAGTTGACATATTGCTTATAGTATCTAAGAAACAAACCTAACCATGACCAATGAACCATAAAAATGAGGTCAAGGTCAGATGATACCTGCCAGACGGTCATACACACCTTACAATTATTCCATACACCAAATATAGTAAACCTATTGCTTATAGTATCTGAGATATGGACGACCACGAAAACTTAACCTTGTTCACTGATCCATGAAATGAGGTCGAGGTCAGATGAAAACTGTCTGACAGGCACGAGGACCTTGCAAGGTATGCACATACTAAATATAGTTATCCTATTACTCACAATAAGAGAGAAATTAACATTACAAAAAATATTATCTATTTTTTCAAGTAGTCACTGAACCATGAAAATGAGGTCAAGGACAATGGACATATTGTTGTTTTTCTGAAATTGTTAAACATTTCACAGTGGTATAATACTGTTACTTTAATTATTCATCCCTCATTTTATTGATTTTGTATTTACATTGTATCATAGATCAAAAGATCAAATTTATTCGTTCAGTGTATGTTCACTTGTGTTAATATGTCTTTTGATTCAGTTAAGCAATTTCAATAGATATTTTATAGTGTGTCTTTCTATGTTGTAATGTTACACTATTGTTTCAGATAAGAGTGAAGGTTTGGTACCATTAAAACGTTTAAACCCGCTGCAATTGTTTGCACCTGTCCTAAGTCAGGAATCTGATGTTCAATAGTTGTCGTTTGTTGGTGTGATTTATAAGTGTTTCTCGTTTTTTATATAGATTAAACCCTTGGTTTTCCAGTTTGAATGGTTTTACACTAGTAATTTTTGGGGCCTTTTATAGCTTGCTGTGCGGTGTGAGCCAAGGCTCTGTGTTGAAGACAATGTGTGTACTTTGACCTATAATGGTTTACTTTTATAAATTGTGACTTGGATGGATAGTTGTCTCATTGGCACTCATACCACATCTTCTTATATCTATATATGACAGACGGAAACTTCATAACATAAGGCATCTACATACAAAGTAATAAGCATCAAGGTCTTCCACCTTCTAAAATATAAAACTTTTAAGTAGTAAGTTAACGCCGCCACCACTGGATCACTATCCCTATGTCGAGCATTTTTGTTGTATATTCTTCAACAAGAATGTGTCTAAAGTACACGGATGCCCCACTCCCACTATCATTTTCTATGTTCAGTGGACCGTGAAATTGGGGTCAACACTCTAATTTGGCATTAAAATTAGAAGGATCATATCATAGGGAACATGTGTACTAAGTTTCATGTTGATTGGACTTCAACTTCATCATTAGCTACCTTGACCAATAACTTTAACCTGAAGTGGGACAGACAGATAGACGGATGGACGAAATGATAAACGGACTGACGAATGAACGGACACACAGACCGAAAAACATAATGCCCCTAAATGGGGCATAAAAATCGCAATAATAAATGCACGCCATAATTACTGAATTTACAGTACATGTATTTGTTTTTCACTAGAACCACATGGCAGGTCAGATTTTAACAGTTCACAGGAAAAAATGTCATCCTTTCAAGACACATTTTCACACTCAGAACCTACCAGTCTTTCCTATTTAATAATTACATGAAGCTACAAGTATTTGGTCAAATCTGACACAGGATTTAACCCATAATCTCATGTAATTCAGGCCAGCACACTTTCATGAAACATTAAATTGAAAGTCAAAACACAAGTATACAGATCACATTTTATTTGAGATTTGACAATGAACTTATATTAGACAACAATATGATCTGGGAGGGTCCCTTTCATAACATTTCATAATTAAACTTGCAAACATAGGTCTAACAGTATCATACTGAAAGGCTATTAAATTCTATTGTAACTGCTCATCCAAGTATAATTAGTGTTCCAAAAAATCTGAAATGTTTAATTTCCTTTTCTTAAAAGGAAGTGGATGAATGAAAAATAAAGAATGTTGGAAGTGTTAATGTTGTGATGTGTTTTGGGGAGTACTTTTCCTTTAATATATTGTATTTCTAAATAGTTTACAAGATTTCTTAAGAAATCAATGTAACGAAAAAATTAAATCCTAGATAAAATAGATATTTGATTTACAGTTTAACCTTCTACAGATATAATAGCTATGAAGATATAAATACTTGGACGAGCAGTATGTCTATTTTGCATGCAAATTTAAATGCAGTAACCATGGTAACATAGAATTGATATAAAGATACACACATTCCTCTTTAAATCTACTTTAGATTAGTACAAGCAAAAATTCTTTATATAACTGATTGTACTTATCTGCTGTAGAATTCAAATGGAATAAATTTCTTAAATCAAATACAAAATATTTGAAGTTGCTTCCATGGAAACAACCTACTATGATGAACACAATGAAATATCATTCCTGAATAAAATTTACATCAAAACATTTCATTCATACAACTTAAAATGCACCACAATTTTGTAATAAATAAAATTCATTTATATCAAGAAGTATTCATTTTGTAGTGTCCTATATTAAGAAAAGCAAAGTGGTTAACAGGTGAATTTTCAATTTGTTAGACAAAACTGTTAACAGGCATCCTATTCATAGTAAAGGAAACATAAGAATAAAGATTTCAAATCATTGAACAACTAACTATAATTGTTAGTATCAAATATGCAAGCAGTAACAGTTTTGAATATTTGCTGTCATGTACAGTATAATCAACTTCCTTTAGGAGTAAACGTGTTGCTACAAGGAGTTACTACCCTTAAAATTAAATGTATACAAGGAGTTACTACCCTTAAAATTAAATGTATACAAGGAGTTACTACCCTTAAAATTAAATGTAACAGAATCTAATGCAGCGAGCCTGGCCTTTTTTTAAGTGCCAGCTTGTAAATAGTCTTTGTCTTATCAGGTGTGTGTGTGTATATACGTCATATACTAATGAATAAAGTATAATGTTTTCAAAAACAAAAATTTATCATTGCATTTCTTATTCATTCCACATGTGATCAAACCAGTTGAAAGTAATAAATGCTGATTTAAATACAGAAATAGGCCTGCATTTAACAATAAAATTATCATTATAATAGGTTATTAATTATTCAGAACTTTTTTTCCAATTTTGTAGTCATGAAACATTTTGTAAAACTCAGACCCGCTTTTAACAATAGTGCAGCTAAATATTTCCTTTACTTTTTCTATGTATGAAGTAAAATTAAATGTGTCAAGATACACAAGTTTTAGCATTATGTGTAAAAACATATCAAATCTCGCTTTAACTTTCTTATCAACTAGAGGATGTTTATTATTATGTAATAAAACAACTCCTTCTCTCACAATTCATTTCATATAAAACAGATTAGTCTTATCACAAGTCAAATAACAAGCATCTTTCAACTTTCACACCATAAATTCCAACTTTCTTTATTCTCATGAATATTCATGCAATTTTTCCTCATAATTTACATACATAAACTGAAGCCATGCTTCCTACTGAATCTTATATTTGAACATTACACAGACAAATACCTTTTTTTAAAAACACAAATGTAAGGGTGTTAGGAGTACCTTACTTTTAGGTTAATAACAATTGCTTTGTATTTTTATTTCTAGTAAAATTACAAGAGTTTAAAGTTTTAAGGATGTAGTTAGGTGAAATTAAAAAAATCTTGAATTTAAAATTGATACTTTAAGTCAGAAAGCATCAGTTTAGGAACAAAATAAGCTAAAAATATTGATAGGTTATAAAACTCCTTTTTGAGATATTTGATTTTTAAAAAATGGCGGGAAAAGGCTGACTTGGATTTTTACCTTATATTTAGCCTTGGCATTATTTGAATCTCAAATCGTAAGAAAAAAATTTAGAATATGCTTAAATTTTGGCAATTACCTTTTAATGAGCTATCGGAGTCTTTTAAGAAAAGAAAAGTGGGTGATATGGGGCAAATTATTTTACCCTGTATCGTAGGAGAAAACCCAAGGAGTCCGAATTTTTTTTAACATCATAACAGCATGTGTCTGATCCTATAGAATATCATACACTGAGGAAAAATCAAAACATACTGCAAGTACATTTTGTATTACTGCACTGAAAACTTAAATTCTTTTTCTGAGAATAAAAATATCTTTCATATTACTGTGGATTCATTTTTATTCGTTGGATACCAATTTTCGTGGATTTCGTAGGTACAGGGGAACCACTAATACAGATGTTAAACAAATCACAAATTTTCTATAGGAATGTATGCAGATTTAGGCGAACCATGAAATCAAATATCCATGAAAATGCAAGTTTTCCACAATCCACGAAAAACTGGTACCCACCAACAAAAATAAATAAACAGTAAGCAGGTCGGACAAACATATAAGAGAATTTACATTTCTTCATATGAAATGATTTTATATTTATGGCAATGAATATCCAATAGACCTTCTTTTAATTCACGCACATTTTAAATTTATAAACTGGTTATTATACTAGGTGGTAAATGCAATACCTTCCTGAGAAAGTTAAGTATGATCAACATGCCATTTTCACAGTGAAATTGCAATTTGTGCCACTGAAAACAATTTCTTAGAATGTTTCCATAGTTGAAAGAAAGGCCTTATAAGCGAAAAACACTAAAAATCTGAAGTCATCTGGATATTTTCAAGAGAGACAAAATTTTGGATGTAATTTATCCATAACAGAATACAGATTCTTTTAAAGCATCTATTAACATCTCAGTGCAATGTGAAGTCAAATTTAGACCTCCTTTCAATGTTGACAGACACATTCTTTACAATAGAACTCAATAAGTTTAAGGGAGCAACCATTTAACTTCAAGGGTGGGGGGAGTTATTGTTTTTTCCTAAAAAAAATATTCTGATCCCCAATTTGATAAAAAAAAAATTGTGGTCAAGAAGATGACAAAAAAATATTCTGAATCCAGATTTTCCCCATATCTTATAGTGTTAAATTTAAAAAAAATTAATTTGATTGATAGCGTTGAAAAACTAAAATAAAATGTTCGCGCTTTGCTTCAGACTCAGACAAAAAACCATACCCCCCCCTTTAAGTTAAATGGTTGCTCCCTAATAACAAATTGATTACAACCAATTCTTATCTTTAACATAGTTTATTCAAAAGTTAAAAATCTGCTCACAAAAATCTTGCTCTAAAAACCACTAACCTAGTTGATACTAGACAAAATATATATCAACATTGGTTTGAAGAAACAATTGGTTTTACCAACATGTCTTAACTTATGCTCAGCATAACATATACACTGGTGGATTCTAAATTCTGACCATATAGATATAATTATAGATCAAAAATGAAAAAAAGGAAATGTTAAATGGTTATGAGACTTTAAGTCCTATTTTACATAAATATGCATGTGACCTTTCAGCTGACATGCTTTCTAAGAAACACAGAACTTTATTAATAAATCATTAAAGAGATATAATCATAAGACATGTTTGAAATCAAGCTTTGGCAAAAACTTGTACAAAAAAAAATGTTTTTATGCTTGTTTACACTTTTTGGTCCAAAACATGCCTTGATTGCAATAAGAAAACAGCAAGTCAGTGCTGTCAAAAAGTAAATTTGTGAGGAGACACATGGCACATTTTAATAGTTCCACCCAACATGCATACATCTTTAATTGTGTTGTTAATTTCTTAAGCCTCTGCCTTATTCTTTAAACTTTCATAACCCAAAAATTTTATTCACTTTCCCACTGTGTGATAAATTGTTGAGCTTGATCATGTTAAAATTTCAAACAACTGTATTACTAATTATAAACTCATTCATATCTCAGGTTGTAATTAGCATATATTAACTCATTAAACTAGATAGAATACTTTTTAAGGATGTTCGCTCCTCTTGTTTTTGAATGTTTGTCAGATATTTGGAATCCTCTGGTTTTATCCATGTAGCGCCGTTAATAAATTTGCCCGCAAACCCCTACTTTTCTTTTCATAATTTTATTACATATAGCTAAAAAGCCATATTTGAAAATCTTATAAAATCCTTGTTATTTTTTCATAGTTTCTGAAATAAAAAAGTTGCCAATGTTAATTGTATGAAAATTCTAGAGAGAATCACTTCCCGCCAAATTTTCAATGGCTTATATTTTGAAAACAAGCACATGGACCCTTCAATTTTTTTCTGCCTTTTTAGTTCTTTTATTGGTATACTTTTAATTTATTACAGTCTTTACAATTATTAAAAACCTTGTTATTTTGAAACAGAGTAGTGAACATCCTTAAACCACATTAGGTGTAACAAATAATAACACAAAACGATGTCATTACAAATCTACATGTAACATAAATTTCTTTAATGATTTTTACACTTTTGTAATAAGTGTTAACATAACAACAAAACAACAGAAACTAATGATATTTATAAATGAGGAATAAATACACCCAGTTTAAATGAAGATTTAAATTATGCAAAATATTTTTGCAACAGTTCAGGCTTCTCTAATTTAAAAAAAAAACAACAAAAAAATCAACATTTTTTTCCCAACATTTTGACATTCCTATAAGCTTGTACAAAAATAAAAATGAAATCTTAAGCATGACATGAATGCTGACTGAATTTGACAATTGCTGTTTTTGAAGGCAGATGTTATATTTTTCTGCCTCGGCTAATTTGATACAAGTTCTAAATTCATGTGTGTTTCTATATTCCAATATTTTTCACCTGATCTGATTTCAGTTCATTTTTCTGTTATTAAGCACTGTTTGAAAAGTAGTTCTGACCTCAATTTTTAATGAATGAAGGCCAGATATTGTTTCTATATTTTTCAGAACTTGATTAATTCTAAAGAAACCTCATTCACTTAACATTTTGAAAAAAAGATATTGAGAAAGAAATGAATGCATTCCTCTTCTATCTCTGTACTTCCTGCAGTTACCAATTACAATATTTCTACAAAGGTCAGTCATGATGATTGGACATTAAATACAAAATACTTGTCTAAACTTAAAGCTTTCTGTTCATATGAAATTAAAAATCCTTATTCATGGTTAGTCATGTGATTTGACATTAAACACCTTAATTGTTGACCTTCAGTTTATTGGTTTATAGGAAATTTTAAGTGTTGGTCTCTGGTGTAGAGTTGTCTCATTGGCAATCATACCACATCTTCTTATTTTTATAACTTCCATATATTATTGCACTCAAGTTTTACAAAATGCAGGAATTGTCTTTTTTGTTTTTGTTTGATTCAGGATATTTATGTCTGATTAGTAGTTTTAGTGGTATATAATTTACATAAAATGAGTCTGATTACCATAGCTTCTAGTAATTAATTGTGACCTTAAAGTAACTAAAGGCAGACTAACGGGGGTTAATTTTACCAAGTCATTGCACACAAATTTAGTGACTAGCTTGATCTGATGCCATATTGAAAAAAATAAGCCAATATATTCTCCAAACAGAATGTTAAACTGGTTAAAATTAAAATTATTCCTACATTGTAGAACTTTTTTAGGGGTTCAAATTAGTGTGGGTCCAAGGTCCGGGACCTAACTTTTCTAGGAGAGGACTTTGCATTCTTAAATTACAAGTCAAGGACCATCCTTTACACTGATGCTTTATACAGGACCATTGAATTTCTTACTGAGGACCTTTTACTTATAATTTCTAATGGTCCTGGACCTTTCATTATTCAAAACAAATTTGAACCTCTGCTTTTTACTGACAGCAATTGTATTTAAGCATGATTTTACAGTGTCAATTTAACTCCTGCAACAAACCAGTCAGATATCAACTCTGATATAAATATTGATGTTTTCAATTCATTTTGAAAATGAATGTTTTTAAATAATTTGAATTCAATTTGATTTGGATATATCTTTAATACCCCACATTTTTTTCCCATTCTTGTTTAAGTTGGAAAATAAGAAACCTTTCAAGGCCAATACCCTAGTCAAAAAGAAAATGGTTTATCATAGTGAAAAATGTGTCAATTATTTAAAAGAATTTACAAGGTTGTCTAAATTAGAATTTACAGGATCAAAAGTTTTGGATGCAGGATAAAAGGTGACTTTAAAAAACATTTACGCAATGAAAATATTCAAACAATGTCATATAATTCTTTTAACTGGTCAGTTTGCATGAATACAATGACTGAGATCATATCTTTTTATGATGAAAAGAGAAATCTCTTCATACAATACAATTTTTAAATCTATACTGAATTCAAAGTTTGCCCTTACTCACTTAATGAATAAATTGTTTTACATGGCAATTTATCTGGCCTGTGTAACCTAATTACAAACTAGCAGAGTGGTTGAACAACACAATCAAAAGCATGCAACTATGATGGCAACTTGACCAAAATCAAACTTTGCTCTGATTTGTAAGAATGATGTATGAAGATATATTAAAAGGGAAAGCATGGTTAATTTCATTCTGCAATCATCAATTTGAAATTGACGGAGATTTAAGTAAACTTTTACTTACTCTTATGTGTGATAAATAAACTCATCATAGATGCTAGGATTACCACTCTGCTAGGTTTAAATTTGTAATTTACCGTATTTAGCTGTGTACAGTACGCAGTTGTGTATAATACACACTCCTTTGAATCCCTCCAAAATATTCTGTTCTCCCTTGGCATACTTAGGAGGAAATACGAAACTGTGCTCCTGAGAATTCACACCAAGATAGTGTATGTTTTAATTACACTATGCTTAATGATTCAACACACAGAAAATTATATTTCACACACTACACTTAAAAGGCACACATACAGTTTACTTCATCATACATAAAAACAATCATCACAAATCTAAAATTCTCTTATTTTACTTCAGTGAGATTAATTCAAACAAAATCATGCAATGCTCAAGTAGCATAAAATTCAATTCAAGTCAATTCATTACAATTTTGCCTACACCAAAAGTATGGTTGCAGTACAAAACATCATATGTAATTTTCTATAAAAATATTTTGCGAAAAATTCCTCATTCCCTTTCACCACCAGCGGTGGAAAATGAAAAGTACTGGAAATTTGGAAATTTATGCAGGCATTTATTATTGTGAATTCTTGTCCACTGGCAAAAATGTGAAAACTAATTATTGTGATTGCTAAAACTTATATTAACGAAAAATCATTACTGAAATTATAAATGCAGTTTTTATTATTGCAAACCTGGTATTGTCACATGTTAATAACAATAATTTCCGTTTTTAGAATATGAGAAAAATTGCAGGGAATAATACATTGTAATAATGGCTCTTATCTCTATGGAAATTTTAAAAAAGCTTAACCATAAAACCTTCTTAAAAAATCAAAATCATTTTAACTATCTTTATTTGATGAAAGAATGGAGAATTGTAACCTTCACTTACAAACTACTGAAGAAAAATAAGTAATTTCATAAAAGAATGGGAGATGATTTGATACTAATATAAGGGCTGTTCCATAAAAATTTACATGGGTTCCCTGCAGGGAAGACACTTTGAAATCTCATCAGTGGATGGGTGATTTTGTACAGTCAATTGTAAGAGAAATTCTTAAATTGCTGCTATAAATGGTTATCCCATTTCCAGATTGCCTTACCTAGGTGCCATGTGTGTTTTAATGGAACAGCCCTAATACAATATGTGTTTTTGTTGGGACGCAAAATTGTTAGTAGTCTCAGATATTTTATCTTATTCTATGAATATATGATTCAATTTTGCCTGCTGTATCACATCTATAGGATCAATCATTTAACACACATTTCGTTATGGCTATTCCAAAATGTATGGGGTGGGGTTTGGGAGGTACTCAATTTAATTAAATATAGGTGGTTACATTTTCCTTTAATTTTTTTATTTTATGGATGGTCAGGGTCTAAAAAAAGTGCCTCCAGCCGCAGCCCCCACCCCCCCCCCTCCCTTTTTCATGCGTTTAATTCTGGATCAGCCCTTAGCTGATCTAATGTCCTCAATAAAAAAAAAAATATTGATACCATTCTGAACAAATTATGCATAATTCTTTCTTTCAATTTAACGAAGTCACACAATAACAAGAATGAGTCAAAACATCATGTAGCACAATTTACGCATAAATGAATAAATTTACATATATTATATAAATATTTACAAGTCAACAAATAACATGACAGATAACAAAAAAGTTGTGTGTACTTCCTGTATGAATTAAAAATCTTTGAGATATTTAAAAATAACTGAGCGACTTATCAAATAATGACTAGCAAAATTTGTAAATCTGAAAATGCACAGTTTACATCATTACATGTTCTTATAATAAGGCGAAATGCACAAAATCAAAACCAAATGCCTGTAACCATCATTCACAACAAGCAATGTGTACGAAACACACAAACTTAAAGATAATCTCAATTTTTTGGTAATAAGCACTTGTTTAACTTAAATTTATATTTAGCTAATGTAAATTAAATAGAAATTTGAGGGAGGAAACAATAACAAACATTTCAAGTGTTTTGAAAGTTCCTTATTTTAATCCATTAAATAAAATGAAAAACAAATGCAAGCATGAATTGTATTTTTACGTAGTTACAAAAAAAACTTGATAAATGACAATAATTCTTTTATACTGGCTAGGAATATGAATGGTGTCAAAAGTAAGCATTGAGCAAACAACCAGCCACAAATTTACACATCCCTACAGCCCTTTGTTCTGAGGTAGCAGATAACCTCCCTTTCAGCAGAAAAATAGAAACATCAATTTATAAGGTTATCTAACTGGTAAATATTCTTAGTCATATATATATTTTTTTGTTTTTAAGCAAGGAATAATTTCACCAAACATTATTTTCAAAAATGTGCCATGGGTTTCCACAAAACCAATAACCAAACCGGCAGAAATCTACTTTCAAGTCTGTGTTAATAAGATGCTTTATTTTGCAAACTGGTTTAAACATTCTGTTGACTTACAAAGTGGTATTTTCCCTGAATTGTGTTATTAACTTTAACATGTTTAAAATGTAAAAATATCTAAATTAAACTGCACATAACACTAAAAGTTCAAAACACCAAAAAATGTAACAATCTAATTTGACCAGAGTTAAAATGACCTCTTTTTTCATATTGTATTTTGAATTTCATATATAATGAAATATCATTCATCTTTCATGTTTATCATTACACTTTCTTTTACTTGTAATATGATGTAGGTATGTCTACTAAACAAATTAATTTCATGGAATGAACAATTTCATAACTAATAATATTAGAATTTAAAAAAAAATCATTTATGTGACTGCATCCATGCTGCATGTAGTATCTGTTCCCTGCTTGTTGTTAAATATAAATCAATTCCGATCCCATGATATAAATCGTTTCCGATCCCATGATGATGATGAGATTGTGCACTTCTATACTATAATATGATGTGAAAAAAATGCCAAACTGTGCAGGACAGTCGTCATCTTCAGTTTGTTTGGCAGTAAAAATTTGATATAATAATGATTTACAGATCTGCTTGGAGAGTTAGCTCCCCTTTGGTACTATATATCACAGACTAGTGAGAGTTGCCGATTGTGTTCTATAATGATGTCATAGTATTACACAACATGTACCGCAACCACTCTCTCCACTTTTATCTTTCTTCAACTGACCTGAAATACAAACAGGGGAATTAATCATAACGTGCACTGCATATAATAGAGATAAACATCAATTTCTTCTTTTCACTGCTTTAAATATAATTTTTGTATGTTAATTGACTAAAGGCAAGTTGTCTAGCATCTAAGAAGATAAAGAAAAAAAAAACAAACAAGCTTTTATAGCTTATCATGAGGTACAGGTTTTGCTCATTGTTGTAGGGCGTACGGTTACCTATAGTTGTTAACTTCTATGTCTTTTGGTAGCTGGTGAAGAGTTGTTTCATTGGCAATTCTAACCACATCTTCTTATTTTAATAAAGTTAAATTTTAAAAATAAAATAACAGAAGTATGTGTCGATGGGACACAGATGTCCCCCTGGTAAATATACAGCAAATGCAGCAATTTTTCATATAAAAAGGGGCATAACTGGAGAACGATGTATGTTACGCCACCCAAATTCCAACTTAATATGAGGTTGGTGGTAAAAAGCATTGTGTATAAGATTCATAACATTCGGCTATGGCAAACTTAAGTTAGACAACTGAATCTAATTTAGTGATGTAGGGATGTACGGATGGAAATGCAGATGGACAAGGGTAAAACTTTATGCCCCCTCTGCCATGGCGAGGACATAAAAGAATTTTGTGTAAATGTTACATCATCTTACATATTTGTATTATTTATAGTTTATTTGTATTATTTAGTAGTAATACAATTGTTTTGATTTTATACTAATAAAACTCGAACATCTTATATCTATTTTTATCTTAACAAAATAGAATCTTCTGCAGTGATATTGTTTGCCTCAGATTACAGCCGAAATTCGGCCTTTTCCCCTATAGAAAATTCCCAATTACTAAAAAAAATGGCTTAAAATTCCTCCCAAAAAGTTTTACATTTTCCCCAAACAGTGATGGCATTGGTAGTAATGTTTGTAAATATCGTACTCATGTTATTATTTTGATATTAGAAAGCACTTTTGAGATCCGGTTTTCTGATCAGAATCATCATGGTGTTTGCAACACATGTGGTTTTCAATGCATTAAGTACCATCATTGCTTCTGTTTCTTTCCCCTCTCCGAAAAGTACCTTTCAGGTTGAAAATGTCTGACAACCAAAATATACATGAAAACAACAGTGCAAAAAAGACAGCAAAGGTCAGCAAAAAATCGGAGATGTGTTTAGAATAAAATTTCCAAATTTCCCAATTTCCATAAAAAATATGCATTTTTCCCAATAAAAAACGGTAGAGGTAGTTTTGAAAAAAGACAACAATATCACTGTTCTGGCAATTCTACAAAACTCTTTAAATATATATTTCACTGTCATCTGCAAATTATTAAGTCAATATCTTTTTATGCTAAATGGTTATTGTAGTAAGTCTTCTTGAGTGATGATTTTTTGATTCCTAGACTATATCATGTATATATGTATGTTTTATCATTATCTACATAGATCTATAGCCATTTCTCATTCCTAACTCCTTTAAGCAAATTTGACTGTAGATGAATTTGGCTATTTTTAGACCCCTTTCGGTCATATAGCTATTCATGTTTTTTGCCCTTATAAATCCCTGACTAAAAAATGTGTGAGTTTGAGCATTCCGGATGAAGTTAAATCCAGAAAAAGCTTAGTACGCACATAACTAATAAAGTGTTATTAGGAAGCCATTTGTACTTCAAACCAACAAATTGTGTTGAGTACAGATTCTTAAACACAAACTTTCTCTTTAATATCAAACACTCGACAAAGTAAAAGTCATGGCTTTAAGAATTTTTTCAGAATGATCCTTATATTGTTTTATTTGACTTTTTTGCATGCCAATTCTTACATAGTACATGTAGTATATATACATATATATTATCATACCTTGATTATTTGGCTCTGGTAAATTTTCCCTTGCCACTAGATGCATTACTGTTGTTTTACCAACTGGTAACTGTAAAGCTGAAAAGAAATCCAGAAAAAAAAACTTACTATATATTTTTATATAAATGAATAATTCAAGGAATGATGAAGTTGATTTGTTGAAATGTAAATCCTCTACTGCCAGGTTAGACAAATCCATGTACCTTTATTTCTACATCAACACTTACCATGCTTACCTAGAGCACAGAATAAATGCAAAATCAAAGTCGTCAATATGTGCAATTCATTTCAAGTAGGCGTTAATATTCAGTCTTTTTTGTCAATTCCTCTGCACATATCTTAAGCTCGGATATGGATGATGGAAAGTTTTCCAAGTGGAGACATTATCAGATAGGTCGTTAAATTTTGGTGGTACAAATGGTTAACAGTTAAGCTCAGTAACTTGTTTAAAATTGTAACATGCCCAATATCAGTGCACAGAGGTAAATTTATTGTTTACATTTTATATAAGAGAACCTCAATTTGAGGCACATTTAATAGGTGTATTGACCCTAACTTCCAGGTTTCTTTATTGCTACATTCCACCTTACCTAGAGAACAGAATAAGTCAAATATCAACTTCCATTTTAATGACATTGCTTTTCTTGCATATGATGAAAAAAGTATGACACAGAACCAGAAAAAAGTACATCAAAGACATATATTATTAATGATTCCTATTATTTTTAATTTTCAAGTAAAAATGCAAAAACAAAGTGCTTGTGAGCATTGAGGGGTAAACATTGCTTTGATTTTGCATTGTGCACATAAAATTTATCATTACATGACACACATTTTTAGCCAATATTTTGAATTGAGTTATCTTTCTTTGTTCATAAGATTGTATTTGTATGTACAGTCAGGGGAATTACTGAAATAAGTGATTTAAAAATCACTTATTTAAGTAGCAAATACGAAATTTTGTCACAAATTGTGATTTTGTAGTTTCACCAAAATTTTAAACATATAGGTTTAGATTATATCTTATTATTAGTCAAATTGGAATAAAATGCTTCGCTGAGCGCAGCCTGATACGACCGCAGAGGTCGAACCCTGAACAGTTGGTACAAATTTGGACACAATATTCAAGCTTGATACTGTCTGAATTTGGATTGTGATCAAATTTTTGACATAATATAGATTTCTGACACAAAATAAATGTGGTCAAAGATCTTAAAAATCTATTGCGCAATACTGTGCAATTGAAGATTTCTTCTTGAAACTTTTCAAATATTTTTGAAAATTTTTTGAAAAAAAATATGAATCCTCTAAAAAAATTGGAAACCCCCCCCCCCCCCCAACTTTTTGAAACCCCCCTTGGAGCAATAACCCCAAAACTCGATCCCAGCCTTTCCTTGTAGTAAGGAACCTTGTAGTACAATTTCAGAGAGATCCATACACTTAAACACAAGTTATTGTCTGGAAACTAGAAAAATGCTTGCTTTTGGCCCTTTTTTTGGTCCCTAATTCCTACATATTTGGGCAATTAACCCCAAACTCAATCCTAGCCTTCCCTTTATGATATGGAACCTTGTGGTACAATGTCAGGGAGATCTATACACTTACACACAAGTTATTGTCTGGAAACTAGAAAAATGCTTGTTTTTGGCCCCTTTTTGGCCCTTAATTCCTAAACTGTTGGCCCCATAACCCCTAAAATAAATCCCAACCTTCTACTAATGGTATTAAACATTGTCGTACAATTTCAGAGCAATCGAAATACTTATACACAAGTTATTAACCTGAAACTAGAAAAATGCTTGTTTTTGGCCTCTTTTGGGCCCCTTATTCCTAAACAGTTACGACCATCATCCCCAAAATCAATTCCAACCTTCCTTTTGTGGTATTGAACCTTCTTAAAAAATTTCAAAGAGATCCATTCACTTAAACTAAAGTTATTGTCCGGAAACCAATGTGTCTTCGGACGATGACGCAGACAACAACGACGACGACATCATACATGTCATACAATCCCAAAAATTTTTTTGCGGTCGTATAAAAAATGAACCTTTTTCTTCTTTTAAATAGCAAGGTTTATGCCTTTGATGCAATCATTTAGCTGTAAATTCCATATTTGTTGAAAAAATGCTATAATGAAGGCTTTACATAATGAACTGATACTTTCTTAACAGATTTTTCCCAGCAGTGGGAGTAATTTTCCTGTAAAATTCAAGGTTTCATCTTACAGATTATGTAATAAAATTTTACTGTTCGCAATCAAAATTTCACTAGTGAAATAAGTGGGGGTAATTAAAATAATAATACCGATACTTAAAGAAGTGATTTTTTGGAAGAAAATAGAGGTATGATACTTAAACAAGTGATTTTCATGTCATTATCCCAGATTCAGTACAAGGTCATCACCTGATATGACTGGTCATCCTATCAACACAGATGTTGGTTCTGATAATTTTAGCAACATAATTAGTCCCTGGATCATTAGTATTGTATATTTAAAGCTACAATAAAATTAAATCACTTAGTCTAGTGATTTATTTAGGTGATTACTAAAGAAAGACAACTCTTACTTCCAACATTTGTGGACACAATGTTACTTGAATCAGTGATTCATACACCATGCACTACTTTCTGCAACAACAAATACATATGATTTTTGTGAATTGAATACGTGAATATATCATAAAAATAAATTGATGATTGGCATGGACATGGATAGGATCTATCGAACCTCACTGCCTACTCACAAACGCAATTAAAGAGGGCTGAAATATAACTATTAAGCCAGTGCCATTGGGATTCAAATCTTTATATTACAAAAACAATTTAAATCAGGTACAAACTAGAAGAGATGGGAACAAAGCTTAGGATGCTTTCTACCCCTTGTATTCATCTTCAGTAACACATTTTTTACAGTATATTTTGAAACTATGTTTGTGACCATGACTTTTTTATATTTCACTGTTTTTGAGAATAGCTTAAATGTGACCATGACCTTTAATTTTTTGGAAGTTATTTTTGAAGAGCTTCAATATCAAGGGGTACAGAACACCTAAGGGAGTTAACTCTTTAAAAATCAGCTGAACGTTTTAATCTCTTACTATTAGTAAAGAGAAATGTAGCGTCTGTCAAACTGCTATATATCCAATGAAATAATTCCTGTGTATTGTGGTTGAAATGTAATTTTTGTTCAAAATTTAATGAAAATTAAAGGAGCTGAATCTATATATTTTAGTCAAAGTGTTGGGTACCCCCTTAAAGTAACATACCACCAAGTGTTACATTCCCGTGTAGAAACCTTCCTTGGTATATCAACCTCAGTATGTTACTGCTAGGTAACTGTTCTTCTGACCAATCTGTAAATACAAATAAAATTATTTTGATATATACTTAATATCAGTTACTGACCAATACATTCTTAAAATTGGTACACATCTTGTCCATAAATGTCCATAGTAACTAGACATCATTGAGATGGGAGCCATCTCTGTGGGCCCCGCTGTAAATAACGTGGTGAAAAAAAATTGTATCTTTACCATAGGACATGGGCCAGTTGTCAACTGAAATCAAAGTTTTTGATCTTTACCTTTGACCTAGGAAGTTGTACATACATTATGACACACCCTCTGGTGTTGGTTAATATACATGTCAAGTATAAACTTTGAAATCATAACAGTTCTCAAGATATAGAGCGGACACAATTTGTTATGGACTGACTGGTGGTACTTGTTTACTTATGGTAATGCCAATTTTTAGACAATGGTGGATGATGGTAGCAGATTAATGGTATTTAGATTTAAATGCAGTGTTAGAACATACAGTGTCATGGCAACAGATTGGTGCATAAGTGAGGATCTCAGTGCCTGCAAGCTTTACTATTTAAATCATGTGACCTTGAAATTTAAATGGTTTCAAACATTTCCCTTGCAATGTAAAGATTTTTTTTTTAGTTGAGCTTAACAGTAAGTCCATGTTGCACAATATGTCATATACAGTATACAATGATGTTACTATGACCTTTGACCTCCGACCTTGAAAACATAACAAGCAGTTGACATATTACATGTTGATTGGACGAAAAACATGGTCTATAGTTTCATGAGTTTATATTATAGCTATATGCTTATATTAATTAAAGGACCTCCTTGATCAATGTTGATCATCTTCATGATCTGGCGACCTTGTCCCTTAGTTTATGACACTTAAATTTAAATAGAGCTAAACTGTTTAACTACTCTTTATGAAAACCAGTGGATGAATGTTTTGTCCTTTACAGCCAACTTCACTGTTATGTTTTTTTATCAGAATTTTTTTTAGCTTTGTGGATTTATTTATATATATATATATATATATATATATATATATATACTATTACAAAAAAAAATCAATACAAAAACTACAGGCATTAACAGGAAACCTCTCATTTCACTTGATCTGTTTGAGATACTGCTATCAAATTGTATACTTACAACAATACTCAATCATTACAGAAAGTATATACGTATATAAATACATGATCTTTATGAAAAACATGATACTGTAGGGACTTATAATCAATACTTCAATGGATATTCTATGGTTTTATCTGACAGTGTATTATTAGAAAAACTAAGAGTTGTCAAATTTTTAGGATAAATACGAGTTGTTTTTTTCTGTGTGGATGCATAACAAGGTATTTCTATGTTTCAGGTGTTTGCTCCAATAATTTTACATGTGTACTTTAACACCAAGAACACTAAACATGCTAACTCAATGAATATTGTTCTAAAAGTACCTTTATTATGTTTATGTCAAAAAGTATAATGTATCTGTTCATCTTTTAATCTTGAAACAGTTGGTATTCTTGAACATTTTTGCTTCATCAAATCAAAATAAAAAAAGAAAAGAAAAATGTGTCTAAGGAGACTTATGCCTCAGCTCAAGCTTAAAGCAAATGAAAATGAGACGATCAGAAGGACAGACAGGAATATGGACAGACTAAGAAGTTAAGAACGGACAGTCAAGGGTAACACAAAATGCCCCCATGGCCTACGGCGTGGGCATAAAAATAAACTTTCAACATTTCCCTATCAAACTGTCATTTAGTCATTAATGATAGAAATAAAACATTAAGACCATAAAGCAGCCTCTGTTCAAGTTTTGTTCAATTCATGGAGGTTAGACCAAGTTATTGAAATACTAACATTTAAGCCGCAGATTTAATGATAATCTAAATGTTAATTAAAGAATGATGGATCGCTATGTTATGTCCGGTCGGGATACAGTCAAAAGTGATAAAATTACCCATGCGACAACTATCTGTACACCAAAGTACAAAGAAGAGGAAAGGAACCGCTTTCAACAATAAGCAAAACCCATACCGTCTAGTAAGCTACAATAAATTTACATGTATAGGAAAGACTTTTAAAGGCCTGGGGCTGTTTTCACAAAAAATCTTACGACTAAAATTGATCGTAAGTTATACTGAAATGTTCATGACTTAAAAGAGTTTTTTTACTCGTAAGATATTTTGTGAAAAGAGTCTCTGTGTTACCCTGGTACATGTATGACATACTGAAGTATTGTCTGGCAACATATGATAGGATGTGAAACAGTATTCACTTTTGATACATATCTAATCAAATGGAACTGAAACCAAGGAACGTTACAGGTGTATTGGTCTATTAATACATCACACATAATCCCTTTACACATCCACTTAACAAAACAAAGGTATAGTCAAGGTCTTTTAAAGCACCCTTTCCTATTAGAACAAAAAATGTATACTTATATTGTATTACGGTATATATATATATATATATATCAAAATACAGTTTATAATTAATCAATATTGTTTTGACCAGGTTAATCAATGTAAAATTACTGAATATGGTAAAGAAATTTTATATAATGTCAAATGTAATCAATTTCCTTGTATAAGGAAATTACTGCATTTATTTGTTTAATCTGTCGTTAATGAAGTTGGTATAAGTACTCCGTTAATAATCATGATAAAATATTTATGATTTCATCGCTTACTTATATTACAATCAATTCAATTGTCCAAGTGTACATTCGGTCAAAATGTCAAGTTTTCTCATGTGCATATATAGCTATATCATGTATATAATAACAGTTATTGATAATTGTGATTAAAAGACTTAATTCAGAATAAATACAGCGGTTCACATCTGCTTTACATCTTACATGTTAATAATCAAAGGTCAAAGACATTCAAATTTTCAGGTGAAGGGTCTTCCTACACATGCTTAGAGAAAGTCAATAATCTTATATAAAGCATCAGTGTAAAGAATGAGAGGTTTTTGACAGACTCTAGTAATTAAACAAACGAAATGTTCCCTCCTAGAAAACACAGATCCCCGACCTCAGACACACCCTTATTTGATCCCCTAAAATATCAGCGAGACAGTAACCAAACTTGTGTGTTTGTTTAATCTACATTGGCTAGAGGTATAGGGGGGGGGGGGTTGAGATCTCACTAAACCTGTTTAACACCGCCGCATTTTTGCGCCTGTCCCAAGTCAGAAGCCTCTGGCCTTTGTTAGTCTTGCATGTTTTTTTTAATCTTAGTTCATTTATATGTTAAGGAGTTTAGTATGACGTCCATTTTCACTGAACTGGTACACATTTTTGTTTAGGGGCCAGCTGAAGTCCGCCTCCAGGTGCGGGATTTTCTCCCTGTGTTGAAGACACATTGGTGGCCTTCGGCTGTTTTTTACTCTTTGGTCGGGTTGTTGTCTCTTTGACACATTCCCCATTTCCATTCTCTATTTTATTGTTCACAGATTGTCTATCATGTCAATTAACTATTTATCAATACATTTACATTATCATGTCTATTACACTGTCACATACATGTACAAATAACTCTTATTCCAATATGATGTTCTTCAAACGGTTTGAGTACACACCCGTGGTAAAATATGAATATATTGTATGTTAGCTGATCGGCAATGTCATGATATGTTTGGGATGTTCTGAACATACTCCAATGTCAAATGATTTTTTCTGAATGAGCTACCCGACGTCATTCAGTCATCTTCGCTAGACAAGGGTTACGATCCAGTCCCCTCCTCTTCACCCTTGCCAGATAAAGATAGAATTTTGGATCCAATAGGTATGATTTCCATTGGTCGCAGTTGTAACTGGCTGCATCCAATCAAAAAGCTCCTTTATGATGATCATGTGTAAATGTAGAAAATGTAAATAAACAGTTTCCATGTGTTGATTGTGCAACAAGTATATCCCCGTAAAACATAGGACTATATCTAGTGACAATTTTAAAGTTCAAAACCAACTAATTGAAGTTCCTGGGTATGTTTCTCGAGCAAATGTTGGAATGTCAAAGATATTTTCCGTTCTTGCTTCACAAAATTTGTAAAAACAAGACACATCCACACTGAAGAGAGTTCAAGTGCTGCCATTGGTCAAGAATGATCATGTCGGAATAGGTGTGACTTTTATCTACCGGCCGATGGCGCAGCATTGTTATCACAAATGTTGGCGTAATCTGCCAAGGGTGGAGAGGAGGGGACTGGATCGTAACCCTTGGCTAGCGAAGATGTCATTCAGTGGAAATGACGTCATTGAACATTGAGCGATGACGTAAGAAAATACACAGTAAGCATTTTACGGGAAAATGCACGGTTGTGAAATTGAAAGTCATTAAGTCAAGGAAACATAAACAAACGATAATAAAATTTGTTAAAAGCCAATTTTTTTTACATATATAAGTAAGATTATCATCTAAATTCATCCAAACCTATCTAAGTACATGTACATTAGTGTTTAAGCATGTCAATAGTTCAGTTTTTTCCGTTCTTTTACCTCAATATCAGTAGTGTGTTTAATGATGGGAATGGCAAATGTTTGCCTTCCCCTAGAGCTCTTCCATTCCAAAAGAATTGCCGTATTTGTCCTATTAGAATAGAAATAATTGATGGGGGCTTGAATTCATACTGATTTTACCACGGGTTTGCCCTTTATGCCAATATTTCCTCGCTATAAAGGGCCAATCCGTGGTAAAATCAGTATAAATTCAAACCCCCATGAATTACTTCTTACTTAAACTAACTCTGGAATAAGGGTGAGTCCAAGAAAAAATGTATGGGAGAGTTGGACAAAATACTTTATTCTCTGGTTAAAAGGGAAGGAAGCAAATACAATGCTTTTATGAATGAAAATAAAGAATATCAGGTGGTGGTGGGGTATCAAAAGTATTGTCAAACCCGCTCCCCAACATTTTTTCCTGGATTCTTGAAATAACCTTTAACGAATGCATGTATCATGTGTATAGGATCAAAACAAGTTAACATGTAATACAGATGTACTTGGACAAATCAGAATAAATCTTACTTGAATATTGAAGTAAGAATGAAATAAACACACGAACCTGTTGTTTTGGTGGTTGTCGTTTGTTGATGCGGTTCATAAGTGTTTCCTGTTTTATATATAGATTAGACAATTGGTTTTATAGCTTGCTGTTGGGTGTGAGCCAAAGCTCTGTGTTGAAGGCCGTACTTTGACCTATAATTGTTTACTTTTTACACATTGTGACATGGATGGAGAGTTGTCTCGTTGGCATTCATACCACATCTTCTTCTATCTATGAACATGATGAACAGTCAGGGGTACTACTTGTACAAGTAATTTTTATTTACTTGAAGAAGTAAATAAAATATACTTATATAAGTTAATTTGTAGGATACTTATACAAGTGTATTTTATTTACTTGTATAAGTAAATTATTTTTTGGCCTAGTTATGTCCCTTAGACATTCAGATTTTTTTACTTATACAAGTAAAACAGCCATCCTATCTTCTTTTCTTGAATTCTTAGAACTTCTTTGCTTTAACAGAATTTTGAATTGTCTGTCCTTTGCAGATGTCTTAATTTATCATTTAAGTGTAATTTCATGGACAATGAAAATCTCATTTGTCTGTTCTCTTCAGAACACTGCTCATTAAGATCTTTGCGCAATCAGTTTCTTTGTTGAATTAATGAGATGAAACATTGAACTATTATCAAAAATTATGAGCTATCATGAGAAAAATTGTTAATGGCATGATTTTACATCTCAAAACTTGAGAATTTTTGTGGGATTGTAAAAAAAATTTACTTATACAAGTAAATTTTTTTTAAAATTAAGGGGAGATTATTCAAACATTATAATTAACTTGTATAAGTATATTTCATTAACTTCTTCAAGTAAATGAAGATTACTTGTACAAGTAGCACCTCTGACTGATGAACATGAGATACTTTATTTTCCATCGGTGCAAGTAAGAAAGCATCCATATCTAGACTATACTTTTTATGTAATTTGATCATGAGTTATCTCCCATTTTGGAAAGGAAATAAATATGTATAAGTAAGAATTGAAACTACATATATTTATAATGAAAAGCTTTTTAATAATCTGTTAATAGTTTTAGTATCCAAGCTGCTACATGTAGCTCAAACTAGAGAGATGCAGCCTCCATCCTCCCTCTAATCTGCCTTTTCCTACCCTGTCGATCATGTCTATACATCTCTCTACCTTTTTAGTCTTACCCTATGCATTGTTTTCTAAGGGAGAATACTCTTCAATGCTAAATATACTTTCAACAACAGAAAAAACTTTTTACAACCCAAAAATACTACATGTAAAACAAGCAAAAATACTTAATAATAAACTGCTTCGCCGAGTGCAGCTGGATACGACCGCAGAGGTCCAACCCTGAACGGTTTGGGCAAAAATGAACACAATATTCAAGCTTGATACATGTCTGAATTTGGACTTAATCAAATATTATAGGTTTCTGACACAGAATAAATGTAGTCAAAGAACTTGAAATTGGTTATATGATTTGAATTTATATTCAATTGAAGATTTCTGAAAACTAGAAAATTGCTTGTTTTGGCCCCATTTTTGGTCCCTAATTCCTGAACGGTTTGGGCAATTACCCCCAAAAACAATCCCAACCTTCCTTTTGTGGTATTGAACCTTTTGCTTAAATTTCATAGAGATCCATACACTTAAACTAAAGTTATTGTCCGGACACCAAATGTCTTCGGATGATGACGACAACGTGATAGCATTATACATGTTACACGAACGCAAATTTTTTGCGGTCATATAAAAATAAACACATTTATTCTATAACCAGTTTTTTGCATGATACAAGTTATGTTTTTCTCATATAATTTATGATGGAATGATACTTAACCCCAAATGGGAGGGATTGTGGTAAGTTTTCATAGGATGAAGACATAATTATTGAGGTCTGGAGCCGCAATGTCAGAACTGCTAGTAGTCCTTTGTTAATTTATGTTGATCATTGTCATTTCACTTAAGTTTCATTTGTTACCTAATAGAACATCAACTTGCATTTCTTTTAAACTAAGTCTTATTATGTGTATTGCTGGGTGTTTGTTTATTCCAAATTGGCTAAAGGAATAGGGGGAGGATTGAGATTCACAAAACATGTTTAACCCCTGCCCCGCATTTTTGCACTTCTATCATGTCAGGAACCTCTAGCCTTTGTTATTACTCATGTGTTTTTTTAAAATATTGGTTCATTTGATTGTTTCAGAATTTTAGTGTGGCATCCATTTCACTGAACTAGTATACATTATTGTTTAGGGGCCAGCTGAAGCCGCCTTCGAGTGTGGGTTTTTCATACTGCAATGAAGTCCCATAGATGACCTTGTGGTGTTTTCTACTCTTTGGTCAGGTTGACACATTCCCTGTTTTCATGCTTACATGTTCTTCCTCTAAAAATTGTGATGATTGTGCCTCTCTACCATTAAATCTTAGCTTGAACATTGAGTTCCATATTACTGTAAACATGGTCAATTCAGAAATTTTTGTGGTGCTTTTATTTTAGCAAAAATTGCAATGGGGTAGGAATCGCAATAAATAAAAATTTGCATTTATGATTTCAATAGCATCATTTCTATGCAGTATTTTCTTCAAATCGCAATATATAGTTAGTCTGAATTTTTTGTCCATTGTTCACAAATGGCTATAACAGATGTACAATATTAATCTAATCTCTGACTTTATAGAAAAAAGTCAGTATTTTGATCAATTGAAGCAGTATACATTTTTTTTTTGTACATGTATATATATACAATGCTGTTAAACATCAAAAAGAGTAAATTTTTTTTCTCTTTAATGCAATTAACAAGCATGTCTGTTAATAAATACTCCAAGTTCGGAGAAATGACTGGTACTATAGGCTAACAGTCTGTTGGTGGCAAATTTTTAGAGTGACCCCTGGTGCTTTTCGGTATTTTACCTGGCAATATCCCTATGTATATATCATGTATATATTACAAAGGTAATACTATAAACCAACTAATTTTCTATTTATTTTCGCAACTTACATGACAAGAATATAAATCGTTGTGAATATGTCTGTATGTAAATCTTGGATCTTTCCTGTTTAACTACATCAAGCAAATTTGAAAACCATGATATAAAATCGCCATGGAGACAAGAAAGGGTTAAACGTGAAAATAAGTCGATTTACAGTATACCTGTATCATGTGTATGACAGGGTCATAAATCAGGACAAAGTCACACAAAATTACTTTTCACAATGAATCACTAAACACTAGCAAGTTTTTTTTTAACTGTTCACCTTGTTCATGTTGTTTGTATGTTCATTGACATTTGTGTACAGTTATTTTAGGAATAAATTCTGTACATTTTGGTGTGACTCAGCAATGCTCAGTGAATCACAGGACTCTATGATGAGAGATTAGAACCATCCATGCTACCTGCGTGTACTGTACATTTACACATGAGGGTCTGAATGGGGTTTACAGAATATAGAATAATGGACACAAAGTGCAGAATATAGAGAAATATAGACCTAAAAATTAAAGAATACAGAAATAAGACCCCGGTATCTACCGTTTAAAACAAAAATGGCGGCCTCCATTGAGGAAAACAAATTTCAATTTAAAAACTAGCTGATCTATAGACAAGCATAAAGTGCAACATTACAGTGTTTCCTGTTTCTCTGTGTGTAGCTAATTGTGTCAAGAAACTGCAATTGAACCCCCACCCCCTTAAAGAAAATGTGACAGTAAACTCACATATTTTTTTTTGGCCTTATAAAATTTTATAAAAATCATACATACCTGTAGGCCAGTTTGTATAAACATGATCAGTTATATCTGCCGCTGAATCATTCGGTAAAAACAAGAATTCTTTTGTCTTGCCACTAACCAGTATAAGTCTTAGGTTTATCTGGAATTGGAAAATATATATATTGCATTAGAATTGAAAAAATTGATAAGTTGAAATGGTAGAAGGGTTGATATGGGCCTGTATAAGAGAGACCAAAAATCAATCTATCACAAAAATTCTTTAAAACTTATATAGCTTGTCACTCACAAGTTGACTGTTGTGAGGCCTATTTAAGGAAAATGTTAAAAGCAGCAACATTTTTACTGGCCTCAAAACCACCAAATGGTCATATCCTTAATCTGGTTGTTCTAGTCGCTGTCTGTCTTAAAGTTTCAAGGAGTATCTTAATCCAACTGGAACTATTTAAAATTATTTTCAAAAAAAAATAGGTCCAGCAAACAGTTGATAGAACTGGCAAAACTGTCATACATGTACATGACGGACCCAATGGAAAGGAAAAACAATTCATCTGCATCTCTGGGCCTGGGCTGTAGGTTAATTATATGATATAAAAATAAGAAGATGTGGTATGATTACCAATGAGACAACTCTCCACAAGAGATCAAATGACACAGAAATTAACAACTATAGGTCTTCTTTGGCAAATGCATGGTCTGCACGGATCAATATCCAGGACATATTTTAGGTCATATAGGTACATGTATACAATAGATTACTTAATAATATAAAGAAAAAAAAATTCTATTTTTTATGTTTATAAAGGGGCTTAACTCAAGAACTGTAAAAGTGACGCCACCCAATTCCGAACTTGATCTGTATTATGTGGTAATAAGCATTGTGTATAAGTTTCATAACATTTGGTTTAGGCAAACTAAACTTAGAAAACGGAAACGAAAAATTTAGCAATTTTTCCTTTTGTAAAGGGGCATAACTCTAGAACGGTTATACATGTAGTGACGCCACCAAAATTCAAACTCAATCTGTGTTTTGTGGTAATAAGCATTGTGTATAAATTTCATAACATTTGGTTGAGGCAAACTAAAGTTAGAGAATGGAAACCAACTTTGGGATGTACGGACGGACAAGGGTAAAACTTAATGCCCCTGCCGTAGATAAAAATATGGATATTGTTCAATTCTTTATTTATCTCTATATATGTATATATATATTCTTTATTTATCTCTATATATATATATATTCAATTCCCTAAATTTGACTTAAAACAATCTTCACTGTGTCATTTGGTCTCTTGTGGAGAGTTGTCTCATTGGCAATCAATACCACATCATCTTATTTTTATACAATTGGAATTTACTTTTGTATAAGAAGATATTTTGCTACCATTTCCTCCATGATCGGACTCAAAACCGGATGTGAGTTTTAATATATCCCTTTCAAAGTCTGATATCTTCCTCCTATCTTTCACCTGATCCTTTCTTTGATTCAGATGAGCTAAAAAGACCTACAGTTTCCTGTTTATATAATGTTATAGACCTTATCTATATTTCATGTGAACTTGGCAATCTGTGCCACTTGACTCAAGATATTGCTATACATGTAATTGTCACCTGATTATGAGGGCCAATTGACCTTGTTCATCGTTGTTGCTATTTGGAAATCTGCAACACTTGACCCAAGAATTTGCATCAATTTAACTATTGACATCAAACAACAATCACTTCTCTTCCTCCTATCATGCCTATCTTACACTTGACCCTTTGATTCATATGAGCTAAAAAAAGCCCTACAGTTTCCTGGTTGTAGACCTTATCTCTATTCCATGTGAACTTGGCAATCTGTGCCACTTAACTCAAGATTTTGTTATGTCACTTGATTATGAGAGCCAATAGACCTTGTTCATTGTTGTTGCTATTTGGAAATCTGCAACACTTGACCCAAGAATTTGCATCAGTTTAACAATTGACATCAAACAACAATCAATTCTCTTTTGTTGTGTCAAGATATTTTCTCTTGTAAAGTTGTGATATGAGAATTTTAGGTAAATCCAGTAGTGGCTGACGAATCATGATGTGGTGATCAGGGGTTTTTCTGGGTATTTTTCACGCAATTTTCAATGAAATTGGGAAAACCCAACAAATATACACTACAAAAGTCCAAAAGTCTGAAAAGACCAGTTTTTGTCTTGATTTGCATGAACAATTACTCGACATTCTCCAAATGTATGACTTGTGTCATAATTTTCCTTGACAAATTCTCATTTATATTAAATTTGTATGAAATTTACTCGACAAATTCTCAACATTCTGAATATGGTCTTAAAATTTCTTGACAAATTCTTGACATTTGAATACTGTCATGAAATTTCTCGACATTCTTATTTTTTCTCAGTATGGCTTGACATATATCAGTGATATTGTTATCTTTTTTCAAAACTACCTCTACTGTTTTTTATTGGGAAAAATGCATATTTTTTATGGAAATTGGGAAATTTGGAAATTTATTCTAAACACATCTCCGATTTTTTGCTGACCTTTGCTGTCTTTTTTGCACTGTTGTTTTCATCTATATTTTGGTTGTCAGACATTTTATACCTGAAAGGTACTTTTTGGAGAGGGGAAAGAAACAGAAGCAATGATGCTTAAAAGTACTTAATGCATTGAAAACCACATGTGTTACAAACACCATGATGATTCTGATCAGAAAACCGGATCTCAAAAGTGCTTTCTAATATCAAAATAATAACATGAGTACGATATTTACAAACATTACTACCAATGCTATCACTGTTTGGGGAAAATGTAAAACTTTTTGGGAGGAATTTTAAGCCATTTTTTTTGTCATTGGGAATTTTCTATAGGGGAAAAGGCCGAATTTCGGCTGTAATCTGAGGCAAACAATATCACTGTATATATATTCTGAACATTTTGAATTGTGTCTTAAATTTACTTGACAATTCTTAGTTTAAAAATCATGACCAATATACATGGTATAACTTTATCTTTATTTCTCTTCATATAATATACTGTAAGTGTTGTTTCAGTTACACTTGTTACAACAAAAACAAAAGTTGCGCATGTAAAATAATTGAAAATTTGGGTATATAAATATTTTTATAAATACAAATATGGCTATGAAATTTAAAGTATTAACAATACAAATGTGGGTATGTTGATAAAAACCAATTCAAATGTGGGTTTGTAAATAATTACAAATGTTGATTCTTAAATCTTATAAATAATTGCTAAATGATTAAAACCAATCATACTGTAGACATATTTCATTCTACATGCATAATATTCAATGTTAATAGGGTAAATAAACAATTATTGTACCAAAATGTGGTTTTTATAAATAGCAAAGTATTATTGTATCCTAATTCTTCCAAGGATTTGTATAGTCTTACTATACAAATCCTTGATTTAACAGAAGAAAATTTGTGCAATGTCATCTGTTGCAATATATATTAAGTATTACACGTGGACAGGATGTTCCCCATACAATTAAGGTATTCCAAATAAGTTATACACACCCCAGGGTTCACTCGACTGTCATATGGAAAATTACTGCTTTACCTGTAATCAGCCATGCAACTTATCAGTTGACTGACCATGCCACTACAATTTTTAAAAGTTTGTTGATGGATGAAAATGAAAATCATCATTTAAATTAAAAAATTTGAATAAAAATGAATTTCTTCATCAAAAATTATGAAGTGAAATAATTTAACATAAAAAAAAATTGGATAATTTACAAAAGATTAAAAGAAAACTATTATCTACTCCAGGAATAATAGAAAACTGTATTTATAAAGTGTCCCATCAATGATTTCTCTAGAAATCATTGGTCTTATGAAATGGATCTCAAACAGACACGCATAATTAAGATCTAAATATTTTTTTTGTTCTATGATTTCTTGAGAAAAAAACATGAAAAATCAGGAGGAAAGTATAACAAATATTTAGTTTTGATAAAAAATTATGAATTCAACACTCAATTTTGAATATAAATTGTTTTTGGTTGTTCTAAAAAAAATGAATAAGTTTTTGAATCAAGATGGGAACAAATTCTTTGTCCCAAACGAAAGTCCCCCCTTTTTTAGCCACACACACGCACAAGATGAATGTTAGGGTTCAAAAGAGACACATGGTCACATTTAAATGATTTTAAAACTGCCTCAAGTCACAAATTTTAGAAAAGCAAATTTTGACCGGGAAAAATCTCAAATGCTGTTTGTCAGTAACTTCGACATATATATATTCCAAGTGAAAACAATTTAATTAAACGTTTAATAAAAATTAAATCAAAATTAAACTACATGGGGGTCATTCGGGGTTTTCCACATAGGTGCACCCAAAGGGTATCTTTCTATACAAATCCTTGATTTTTCTAAGTTTAGTTTAGCGATAATAAAAATGGGTATATAAAAGCAAAAGAAAGTGTTAAAACAGTGCAGACTGTGTCTATACACATTTCAAGCGAGATTTATACAGTTGAGATAGTGTCAAGACATCTTTAAGACCGTCAAGAATGTGTCGAGATATATTCAGACAGCTTTAAGACTGTCAAGAATGTGTCAAGACATATTCAGACATTATTAAGAATGTCAAGACTGATCGAGACAAATTTAAGACAGTCAAGAATTGGTCGAGACTAATCAAGACGCTTATCAGATGAAACAGAAAGTGTTGAGAAATTTTTAGACAATTTTAATACTGTCAAGACACTTGTCAAGAAAAATCAAGAACCTCATTAGACAAATTCATAATATGTTAAGATTTTTTTTAAATAATTCAGTCAAAGAAAGAATGTCGAGTAAAGATTCATGCAAATTCAGACAAAAAATTGGTCTTTTCAGACTTTTTGACTTTAGTAGTGATACCAGATGTGAATTTAAATGTGTATAGTTCATTAGAAATTATCTTTTTTTGTGAAAATAAGGTAAGAAACTACATGATGGCCATTTATAATTTTATTTTCTTGTCCTTTTTGTTTTTAAACTTGACAAGGCAATCAACAGTCAGGGATATAACTCTATAGGGTTATTACAGAAAAATAACATACATTTGTTATTTTGGACAAAAAATATAAGAACTGTGATAACATATGTATGTTACAGTTTTCAAAGGGACAATATACATCATTAGTTTAGTTAAAATGTATGCAAGTTCTATTGATATTACTATTGTCTTTATGTATACTTAACTATAGAAAGATATAACAGTTCATAGTTTGACAATTTTGCATAGTATACATTGTACCTATGTTATTACAGAAAAAATATGCCTGTAATAACTAAAGGGTGTTATCACAGCTTCTCTATATCACTCCAAAGCATTTGATGAGACATACATCTTGCTTAATTACAATGTATTTTAATTTAATGTAAGAAATAATGACCAGAGCATGTAATGAGGTTCTGCGCAAGCTTCCGAGTAATTCCCAAGTGTCTCATATAATAAGTTACATTCCTTTAATAACTAAGCCTTGTTATTACAGCTAAGTTTATCCCTTAAAAGCCTTGTCTCATTGATTTACCATGGTTAATCAAAAATGTATTAATTTAATTTAAAAATTAGTTATCAAGGCTATGCATTTAGTTTCTGCGCAAAGTCTCAAGAGTTCCCTAGAGCCCACTATAAATTAAAATATTTTTGATTTATTTTACAAATAACAAACATATGTTATTACAGATTTAGAAAATTTAAGGAATAAAGAGTAGATAACTCATGAAAGTATCTGTAATAACACACACAAGTTATTTTCTGTAATAACCATATAGAGTTATATCTCTGACTGATCAAGTTTATATTAATATCAAAATACCATACTTCTTAAAAAATGTACCCCCTTTTGCACCTTCATAGACTATAACCCTGAATTAGCCTGATCATGCTTATCTGCTCCCACAATCTGATCCTGTATTACATTTGTCTACATATCCTGTTTATCAAATGTTTATAGCGGCCATTCGACGAAGCTGTATTTTGTCAGTCAGACATGTTTTCCCTCAGTTTTACACATTATTTCTTTGCAATTTTCAATAACGCTAGCTATATATATAGCGGTTAAACAAAAAGAACATTGCTGTCATGAATAATATAGGTTAAAACGTAACTTGAACAATTTTCAATCCGGCAGGCAGATTTCCCTTAAAATCTCTTTTGGGAATTTTTCCTCCCGAAATTGGGAAAAATGTTGAGGTTTTGCAGTTGGGAATGGGTCCGAATGAATTATAGTTATCTCGTACATAGTAAACTCGTACCACTGCAAACTCGTACCACGGTAAATTCGTACCATTGCAAACTCGTACCAACTTATTTAAATGCATTCAAATGGTGTTTAATGATATTTAAATTTCACTCAATACCTCATAAGTCTGTAAAAAGTATATAATTTGAAATCACAATGACCAATTTGTAGCTGATTTTTCCTTGGCTAATTGGATTAAGAAAACTCAAGGATGCGTGGCCTACTTCGATTTGTCCTACTCAGGTTGATTCGAGTTAAAAGATCAGTGCTAATGCGCATGTGCGCAACCTTTCCGAATCGAAGTCAAAACTCTCAAAATGGAAGATATTATTGAGGAAAATTTGCGTTCAGAGAAAAAAAAAGTTGATGTTGGGATTTGCTATATACACGGGTCATAATCACACCTGAACATTATACAGGGATTGACACTTCTAAATTCAACCATTGTCACATGTAGTTTCCAGTTGTAGTAAGAAAACCAGGTCGGGTTCAAACAAAAAGATTTTGAAAAGCATAGAAAAATTGCGCACCTTATAATCAGCAGGACTTTTATCAGATGAAAATCCAGACTAAAAATAAGGCGTAGGTACTTCAATTCAGTCACGGAACTGCAGGTGTGTTCTAGTATATTTTTAATGGTACGAGTTCGCAAGGGAACGACTTCGCAGTGGTACGAGTTAACATTGGTACGAGTTGACTTTTAGTGGTACGAGTTAACTTGCTTCCATCCGAATACTGGAACCTGTGGAATGCTTGAAAAATCCATGAAGGTGTATAGATGACTTTGGAATTTTTCTGCTTTCCCTTAAATTTCCTATGCCACAATGCATATGTTATTACATCACAGTGATAACTGAATCTTCGATGACTTCATTTTTTGTGACTGACCTTGGGTCAACCGGTGTATATTGAGGTTTTGGTAATTTTTTCTTGTCCTGTCCAAGTTTTACAGGAATCATGGGAATGCCTGTGATGTGCAGTAATGAAGGAAAAATAGCAATAAGATATATAAAATGTCAGAACAGAGGAATTTTCTTAGAGTCTAGAGATCATTATTATTGGTCACTTACAATGCTCAACAAAGTAAAAAAAAACAATGTACATGCATAGCTATCCTACCATCTCTTCAACAAATTTACCTTATCCACAGGTACGCCTCTTGATCCCATATTCTAACAAAACAAATAAATGGAGCGTTTTTTTTAATTTAACTTGTTGAGGAAACAGGATAGCAAAGTGTCAGTGACAGTGGTTTTGTTGTGACACCGTTTTGTTTATTTTTCAGCTTTCAATTGTTTTATCTTCATTTTGATATCTAAGTAGACAGTACATTTCTGGGAGAATAAGTTTAAGCTAAATAGCAAATATAATCATAAATAGTTCCAAATCATCCTTGCTTTCTAGTAGATCTTTGTTTGAGCCGATAAACAACTTCTCTCAGCTGTTATGGCGGCCGTTAGATGAATCTCGGGAAAATTAGCAATTTGCGCCTGCGTTGCAGAGTGATTCTTGTTTCCGGTTCGAAAAAAATAACTTTGTAAGTTTAATGTTGATAAGGTTTAAAGTTTATATCACAAATATTTTGTTTATTTGCAGCTATTTCGTTCACAGATTATATCAAACAAACGGTTAAGCTTGCTCACAACCTGTTGCAATGTACATCGTCAACTCTTATCACACACTTATAATTTTATTTTTAGCTATCCGTAATTTGTTCGAGACCTATAAATATTATCAACAGGTTAAATATATTATTCCGGATCTTCCCTGTCAGTGTGCCTGAAGGCTCATGTGATATTGGGTATTGACAGGGAATATTAGCCCATATCCATGTGAGGCTGAATAACAAATACATTATCAATGATTATACATTGGTTAGTAGTCCAAATAATTATGAGGTCTTGAAAGGCTATTTTATTTTTTTCCTATGTCATAGGATGGCATAGTCCAAATAATTATGACGTCGTGAAAGGCTATTATATTTTTTTTCTTTGACGCCTTACATCGACGTCGATGTAAGGCATCAAAGAAAAAAAACATAATAGCCTTTCAAGACGTCATAATAATTTGGACTAAGGATGGCAGGGCTGCCAAGTCTCACGCATTTTCCTTTGATCTATTGTTTTTTCTCTTTGATCTTTACGATTTTGGCCAAATCTCACGCATTTGCATTATTAAAAGTTGGCAGAACTGGGATGGTGTCCCAGAAACAATTAAAATAGCCTTTCCAGACATCATAATTATTTGGACTAAATGGTTAGCTGCGGAACCGTAGCTCTTGGGTCCTTTTGATATTTTTTTTACAATTAGCGGGGTCAGCACAAATCAGAAAACATAATAAGGAGGGTTAGAGTTACGGTTCCGCAGCTATATAATGATGTTTTTTTGGTGGGACTATATATAGCTATTAAAAGGTTATTTTAGTTAACAGTGTTTACAATATTTGATATGTTTTGTGCTTTAAGTTAACAGTCAGGGGTACTACTTAAACAAGTGATTTCATTATCGCCTATTTCAGTGATTTGATAAATTCAGTAATCACCTATTTAAGTGATTTTGGTGTTTCCTTTGATTTTCAAATGCTAATTTCAATGATTTTCCATATTTTGACAAACTTCTCTATAATTTTCCTACATAGATCAATTATCCCTTTTTTGTAAGTTTGAGTGTGCTAAAGCTTTTAAAAGTACCCTTGGGAATTTTTCTGTAATCAAATATTCATTAACTACTCTTACTATCAGAAAAGGTCAACAATATTAGGTAACCTGATTGGTTTTCTTTAGTGGTAGAATGATCTACTTAGAGGTTTTGTCTTGATTTACAAATTATTCCAGTTTTTGTATATTTTGAATAAACTGTAAAAACTGACAGGCTTATCAAGCAAAAGATAATTTCTGCATGTACATGTACATAGGTGTTTTTTCAATGGAATTCTTGTCTTTTTACCAATAAAAAAATCCACCTTGTGGGAAAAATATCAAGAAAATGTTTTAAACACTTATTGAAGTGATTACATTTTAACTTCTCAAATTACTTGTTTCAGTGATTTTAAAAAACCTGTGTCTATTTTTGTGAAAATTTTTAATATTTCACAGCCAAAATCACTTGAAGAAGTGATTCTGAAATCACTTGTTTAAGTAGTACGTACCCCTGACTGTTTAATTAAGTTCATTATTCACTGTGAGTGTGTTTCATGCAAATTGATGAAAAGCAACATGCAAGATATTTATTATTTTTACACTCTTATTATCTGTTCATCTGCCATTTGTCTGTGCACAAACAATTTTTTCGCATGTTTTCCTGCTTGAACATGTTGAAGCTCATTATTCACTGTTTCGTGAAAACTGATCGTAGAAAGCAAAGTATAAGAATCTTTAATTTCATTCATCATGAAATGACCATTCATGTTCTGTTTGTAAATGCACATGCCCCTGCTAGCTGTCCATTTTACAAATTTATATGGGGATAAGATGCATTGTATGTTTAAAACACATGAGCAAAATCGTTTGGCACTAAAAAATTTAGACATGATTACAAAAACAGGAGTACACAAATAATGTAATATTTAAAGCTATAATATACGGAAATTCTAGACATATTTATATCTTGTAAATTTTTGTTTTTCCCGACCTACTGACCTGAATATTTTACATAAAAAATCTGTAAATCAACAAATTAAAAAACCCTTGGCTTGTATAAAGTTTCATTAGAAAGTTTTTTAAACATTGCATTGTCTCTGGGTTTTTTTCAAGACTCTCTCTCATATTTTTCTTCAGATGACAAAATATTGCCACAATTTCATGTTGATGCTTGATCTTTTTATACATGTATTTGTCATTTCCATTTGCAACATTTTGATGAAGGTTAGATATTTTTAACTTACACATTAATTACTTAGCTTGTTTAAGGATGTTGACTGCTCTGTTTTAAAATAACAAATTTTTAAAAGACTGTCATGACTGTTATAAATTGTTAATTACAAAATATATATAGATATTAAACAGAACTGAAAAATTAGAAAAACATGAAAGGTCCATGTTATTGTTTGTGAGATATAAGCCATTGAAAATTTGGCTGGAAATGATAATCTCTAGATTTAACATTGAACAATAGCATGAATAGCATCATGATCATTTTTCTTCCACAAACTATGAAAAAAATACAAAGATCTTTTTTTATATTGGCTTTTTAAACGTGATAAAATCACAAGGAGTAGAGAAGTAGAAAAACAAGCCCATTGAACATAAATCATATTTTGTTTTGACATACAGAAAGATAACCCAGGAAACTTACAAATATAGACACTCGCGGTCTACAAGTCAAAAGCAAAATAAGACTCATTTATTTCTGAGCTCTGACTGATATATTTGGCAGTATAAACGCATGATGCAAAATATTAAAAATTCCATACATGCAAGTCAGATAACTTTGATTTATTGAAGTATGATCTGTTAGAAGCTCTGTTTCATGAGAATAGACTGATAGGAAACCTTTCACATGTTTAAGCCTAAAATTCATGAAAACAGTTCTGTTCTTGATAAAATCACACATTTTCCTAGCACATACCCCCTCTAATTATATGTATGACTCAAAAAAGATTGGTGTGTATAATTTTTAATGCCCCCCCCCTGTAGCGGAGGGGCCATTAAGTTTTACCCTTGTCCATCTGTACGTACGTACGTCCCAAAGTTGGTTTCCGTTCTCCAACTTTAGTTTGCCTCAACCAAATGTTATTAAACTTATACACAATGCTTATTACCACTAAATACAGATCAAGTTTGAATTTTGGTGGCGTCACTTATACCGTTCTAGAGTTATGCCCCTTTAAATTTTTATTATTTAAAAAAAAACATTTCTGACTCAGACAAAAAACCATAACCCCCCCCCCCCCCCCCCTTGAACATGTTGAAGTTAAATGGTTGCTCCCTTACCTGTACACAGCTGTCTATGTCTGTTCTGTGATGCCTCCATCTTGTATTGTCCACTGAACATGCTGAACTATTATTTATTGTACATAATGTGCATTCCATTAGGTAGATTTTATTAACCTTTAGAAATTTTTGGTAACAGGTATACCTTCAATTATTACTCATAAATTATGTAACTCATGTACTCATTATCATAGATATCAAGTTTGTCCAATCAAATAATTTTTTTTTAGTTTTACCCTATTGACTCTGCACCCTCTCCCCACTGATATTTTCGATATTTGAAAATATATTTAAAAAAAATTTAAATGTTATGCATGTTGTATACAATGTATGTCTAAAAGCTATATTTTTACAGAATTAACACATACATGTATTGTTATTAACACCCTCCTCCTCGTTTCAGACAGGTTCCGCTAATCTGCAATTCTATATCTGTAAATAGCTGGATTAGGGCAAGGCTTTATTAACCTGATTGAGCTAAAAATAATATCTACCTTTGTAATCTTTGAAAAGAAAATTAAGTTTCTTCATTAATCATGTTAATAGTTTTATACATGTAATATTTGAAAGTGCAATCTAAACTTTTCAGGCATAATAAACATTATTTCTTATGAACATGATGAAGCAAGAATCTTGCAGTCTAATAAGTTAATTACCCAGGTGTTAATAACACCCCACTCCAGTTCTACTGTGGGATGGCAAGTTGTGGCAAAATATTTTTTTTTGTTGTTGCCAAAATTCATTTTTTTTACAAAAAATCAAACAAGACACATGCAGTTTCTCTTTTCAGAGAAATTTTTCTTAAACCACTGACAGGATTCTTAATTCTTGGAAAAAAACATGTTTGACATTAATTTATATATTGTTCTATCTGTCTATATTGTGATATAAGCTATTTTAAACTTTAAGAATGACAAATGAAACTTTTTAAAAGAAATTATCAGACAATCAAAGTGTCATTGATAATTGTCTTAAAAGAAAGTCTTGCTCTTTTCATCCATTAGAAAAAAGAAGTGACCTGGAGGAAAAAACAGATATAGCAGGGTTAGGGGGAAACCAACAATCTTTTTTGTATAGCCATACATATTGAAAGTTTTTTCATTGTAATTTAAGTATTTGTATGAATACAGTATTATACTATCAAAATTACGTAATCTTGATAAACATGATAAAGGCGAGACATATCTCTGTGTCAGCATTTTGTGAAGGTTGAAATGAATTCCTTACAATGTACATGTACATAAACATGTGCACCTTGTCGATTTTAATTGGCCATTGAGATGACTTCAAATCAATTTAAGAGTTCACTGCAGTTCTTCCCCCCCCCCCCTCAAATTTTTTTCTCTCACAAATATCACATGACAATCAGCCGATAATCATGCTAATGCAACAGACAAAACTTTTAGGGGTTCAACTTTTTTTTTCTTTTTCAGGTACTTTGTACTATTTCATGGAAATTTTTCCTGATGTTGATCTTTACTGAAATAGATTATGTCAACGACAGTGTGCATAACCCAAGTTTTAGATAAAGAGGAACTATTAAATGGATTAAGGTATATACATTCGGCATTATTAACCATGTTAACGTGATTATGAATATAAGGAGATGTGGTATGATTGTTTATTAGTCACCTATCCATATAGAATAGAGAATGGAAACAGGGAATGTGTCAAACAGACAACAATCTGATGAAAGAGCAGAAAACAGCCTAAGGCCACCAATGGGTATCCAACGCAGGGACAAAATCCTGTACGGGCGGGCTTCAGCTGGCCCCTAAACAATAATGACCATACATGCTATAGAACAAACGTGAACAATTACAGATCACCGTATCAGTGTACAATATTCAACAATGATCATAATCCTCATTTTTGATAAAATTTTAAATGCAATTAGACGGAAGTGAAAACAAGGAGAGGAAGTTTACATTACAAATCCTAAATTCACAAATATAATTTCACAATATAGAAATAAGGAGATGTGGTATGATTGCCAATGAGCATGATGAGACAACTATGACCAAAGTTCAAATGAAGTGGATGTATAAAGCAATTATAGGCAACTAGACGTCCTTCAACAATGAGAAAAATTCATACCGTATACTGGTATGGTCGTATACCATATTGTATCAAATCTGTTTTCATACTATTACATATATAAATGAATATATTACAATTCAGAGTTACTTTTCAATTCAAGAATATATGTATTAAAAGTAAGAATATATATATATATGTATAATAAAGATCCATTTCGTTACATCTTGTGATCCGTTTATTTGGCAATCGCCAATGGCAGTCAGCAGGGTTTAAGAACATCCGTTGTTCGACCTGTAGGTCAAATGCATTTTGTTTAAATATACATTTTCACTTTTTTGGTTTTTTGAAAAATGTTGTTTGTGCTGTATTTAGACCACTCTACCACATTGTACCAAGAAATTTGTTTTGTATGCACACGTGTAAAAATTGTGGTTTTTATCCAACGCAATCATAGGTTTGAATGTTGTTTTCAATTTAGACTTATTTGTAGCAAAAGTATATATACATACACCATTGGTGGCCTTCGGCTGTTGTGTGCTCTATGGTCGTGTTGTTGTCTCTTTGACACATTCCCCATTTCCATTCTCAATTTTATTTTTATTGTATGTTCATTCAAGCACATCTCACTGTTACCCCCTTTTGATTTTTGTAATATACACATGTACTTTGAGAATAAGAGTTACTGGACTTGTTGATTGGTTAAAATAAAGGGAGGCTACATTTATTATATCATGCACTCAAAGAATAGTGATTTATTATGAGTATCCTGTTTGGCAACTGTCTCATTGAATGATGTATTCAACTACTGTAAATTTTGAAATTATTGCAACTGGGTGAATATTGCAATTATAAGAATTCGCAATCTGATATCTGATACATATAACTTCCCTAAATTGCAAAAAATAGTCTCACATTTTTGTTGTCCATTCTCCAAATTCACAATAATAAATGCACACAATAATTTCTGAATTTACAGTATTATGAAGTATTTATAGTTCGTAACAGTTGAATATATCAATACATTTTTCTTCTTTTGCTCACATTAAAATTTGAAGACTTTTTTTTTTGTATTTTACATGATGAAATTTTTCAGTTTACATTTCAGTAATGAGGAGGATGAAGTGTCTAGAGCTGCAGAGGAGATAGAGTTTGATGATTGCTCTAAAGGTCTAGGTAAGAATTGTCATATACATGTATATATATGATCCTATTGTGTTGTGTAGTAAAGTAATGAGAATTGTGTCCCTTTGTATAATGATGTAATTTTGGCATGTGATGTAATTTGTCTCTTTCTGAATAAATTTGCCATGGCAGTAGATGTGTTTTTGTTGCTCTCAAGCAAATATTAGTTTAGTAGCATGGGAAGGCATGTAAATATATATCCCCCCAACAAATGTTCATGATATAATTTGACGTACATGTAAGTCATGTATGATTATAGTCAGGTGACAAAAACATGTTTAACTTATCAGTAAACAGTAATTGCTCCACACAATTAACCTCTCCCTTAAGGTGGCACATAACACTTCAGTGAGATAACTCTGTAAAAATCAGCTGAATGTTTTAATCACTTTCTATTGTTAAGGAAATATTAAGCTTCTCAATAATGAAAATTAGTGTTTGTCAAACTGCTATATATCCAATGAAATGTTTCTGGTAAAGTGTGTGGTTCAAGTTTTTTGAAATTTTTTACTCATGAATTACTATTAACATGATTAATAAACATGATAAAGATAACAATTCACTGTTTAAGCACCAGTATAGTTTGTATGTTTTCAGAAGGAAAAATACTGTAAACCAACTAATTTTTCATGAGCGATTTATTTTCGTGACATTCACAAAAGAAAAATAACGCGAATATAAATTGTCGCAAAAATTTAAATCTTTGATCCTTCCTTGTTTAATTACATCAAGTAAATTTGAAAATAGCAAATTAAATCGCCACGAATTGGGCTAGCAAGGGCTAAACTCGAAATAAAGTATCCGCGAAAAATAAGTTGGTCTCAGAACACACAACAAAAAATAAAGGTTCAATGGTCGTTTTGACGTATGAAGTACAGTCCCTTTTTAAGTCAGATAAACCAGCTTTTTTTCAGAGGGAAAAAAACAAACCAAAATAAAAGATCGGAAAGTCCCTAGAAAATGTTGAACACTATCACTTTTTATGACAGATGTAATGCAAATGTCATTTTAACATTATTAACTTATTTTCAGGTATAAAGATCTGTGGAGGCTGTAGTTTAGATGGCAGACAAGACAATGGTATCTTTGTCAAGAGAGTTTTGCCAGGAGGGCTGGCTGATATTGATGGTGAGTGGGAGTTTTACCTGGCAGGGTTACTTCACACCTTGGGTAGATGCAACACAACAGGGTTAATTCACACCATATGAAGGTGTGACTTGGCATGGTGATGTCATATCATGTGTATATGTGGGTGTACATAGTTTATTGTTAATCAGATTATTTTTCTTACCATTTCTACATGCTGAGTAGTGGATCAACACAAATTCTCCAGCATTTTAAATAATGCTGGAATGAAAATTGGAAGAATTCATATGTTTGTGCAAATCTGTTTTAATTTTTTTTCAAATAGTTCTGTGGGTTTCCAACATTGTAAACACTTTGTTGTATTTCTGTATGATAGCTTGAAATTTCTACCTCTTTGAGAGCTAATATTTTCTGTACTATATTTAGAGAACAGCATTCAATCATGTTTTATTTCTGTATAACATGTATAATAGCTTTTAATTTCTACCTCTTTGGAAGATTATATTTTCTGTACTATATTTAGAGAACAGCATTTAATCAGGTTTTTTTTAAATGCTTTTGAGATTATCTCTCAATATGTGTATTTTAATTGGATAATTTCTGACTTATTGGTGTTCAGGATTTTTCTTTTTTTTTGTAGGTCGTCTGCAGTCAGGTGACCACATATTGAGAGTTAACGATGAAAGTTTGGAAGGTGTTACAAATGAGAGGTAGACATCAGAGTTTTATGCCCGCGCCATAGGCAACAGGGTCATTAAGTGTTACCCTTCACTTTCCATCTTCCGTCCATCCGTCCCATTTTTGTTGCAAAGCTTGAACGTGGGCATTCGTGTCCTCCGACACATTTTTCTTTTATTTTTCTAATAGCTATGTATTTGAAAAAAAGAAATGTGAGATAAACATCAATGAAACAGCAACCTTATAACAACCCCTGCCACCAAAGTGAAATTTCCTTGTCAACAAACATGATGTTTTCAGTAAAACATTAGTACACATTTTATACCTTATATTTTTTTGTCGAGCCTGCAACATAAATGTCACTAAAGCGAGACATAACGATCCTAGATTCTGTTGTTGTCAACGCCAACAACATTTAGATTCAGTCTGTGATTAATTTTTTTTAGACATCAATAACTTTGTCAAACCTTACTGGAATTTTCGAAAATTTGGACAGAAGCTTGTTAATGACCAAAATACAGTATCCAAAGCAAAATTTTTAAAATATGTATTTCAATTTTCCGTATGTTACTGATAAATTGACTTAGTTTTTTTTACAGTTAACATTCAGATTTAGTCTGAGGTTAAAGTTTTTCAGTCATCAAATAACTTTGATAACCTTCTTGGAATTGTAGGAAATTTGGACAGAAGTTTAGTTATGACCAAAATACAATATTCAGAGCAAAATTTTGAAAGTATTTATTTTCATTTTTCTGTATATAACAGATAAATTTACTTAGTTTTTTTCTTTACAGTTATCAAATAGATACAGCCTGGGGTTAAAGTTTGTTACGCATCAATCACTTTATCAAACCATCAAAGAATTTTATGAAACTTTGGCAGAAGCTTTATTCTGATTAAGAGATAATGTCTGAAGCAAACTTTTGAAAATATGTTTTTTTCATTTTCAGTATTTTTCTGATAGATGAACTTCATTTTATACAGTTAACATTTACAGTCAGTCTGATTAAACTTTTTTGACATGATAAATTTGTAAACCTTCACAGATTGTTATGAAACTTAGACAGAAGCTAATCTTCAAGACCATGAAATAGCATCTAAAGAAAAAGTTTTGATTTTTTTTTTAATAAATTCTGTAATGTGTTTAACTGATAAATGGACTCACTTTTTAAGTCAACATAACACTTTATCAATAACAGCAGCAACTGCAGGCAAGACACAGGGTTCCCCACAACCCTTTACACATTTTTTTCCAGAAAAACAGTATTTAAAATATATGTCGTGGATTGACAGGGACAAATCATTCTGGAATGAAAAAAATCAATAACTGTACATACTGTATAGAAAGAAGTCAGTTTTTAGGAAAACATTGTCTAGATCAATTGCTTTGATGAAATAAATATGAAAAAGGGGCTTTTGCATAGAGTAATGTTACATTTGGTTAATTTGCAGTACTTCCACAGTTTAATTGTCTCCCTTTGAAATAAACACATTTATGCAAAGTTATCTCCCCTGAAAAATTCAAATAAAAGATAAGTTGAATGCTTAATTTCAGGTATTTTAGGAAACATTATTTACTTTAGAGTTCCCTTTTGACCATGTATCTTGTAAAGTATTTTAGTATTTATACATCCTTGGCTTCAAAATTTCGTTTGAGTGTTCTGGATGAAGTAATTAATCCAGTAAAAGGCTTTGGATGCATCAAATTTTCATTTAGCAGTGTCAATCTAGCTGAAATACTATCATGTAATATAATATTGTTATATTATAATTATCTTGTCAGTGTGTCTGTCTGTCTGTTAGCCCAACAAATATTTAAGTCACATTTTTCTGAGGTACTAGTGAACAGAATGGTATGACCACTTTTTAGCTCACCTGGCCCAAAGGGCCAAGTGAGCTTTTCTCATCACTTGGCGTCCGTCGTCCGTTGTCTTCGTCCGTCGTCGTTAACTTTTACAAAAATCTTCTCCTCTGAAACTACTGGACCAAATTTGACCAAACTTGGCCACAATCATCATTGGGGTATCTAGTTTAAAATATGTGTCCGGTGACACGGCCAACCAACCAAGATGGCCGCCATGGCTAAAAATAGAACATAGGGGTAAAATGTAGATTTTGGCTTATATCTCTGAAACCAAAGCATTTAGAGCAAATCTGACATGGGGTAAAATTGTTCATTAGGTCAAGATCTATCTGCCCTGAAATTTTCAGATGAATCGGACAACCCGTTGTTGGGTTGCTGCCCCTGAATTGGTAATTTTAAGGAAATTTTGCCGTTTTTGGTTATTATCTTGAATATTATTATAGATAGAGATAAACTGTAAACAGCAATAATGTTCAGCAAAGTAAGATCTACAAATGAGTCAACTTAAGGAGTTATTGCCCTTTATATTCAATTTTTAACCATTTTGCGTAAATTTTTGTCATCTTTTACAAAAATCTTCTCCTCTGAAACTACTGGGCCAAATTTGACCAAACTTGGCCACAATCATCATTAGGGTATCTAGTTTAAAAAATATGTCCAATGACCCCGCCCGCGAACCAAGATGGCCGACATGGCTAAAAAATAGTACATAGGGTAAAATGCAGTTTTTGGCTCATATCTCTGAAACCAAAGCATTTAGAGCAAATCTGATGAGGATAAAATTGTTCATTAGGTCAAGATATATCTGCCCTGTAATTTCAGACCAATCAGGCAACATGTTGTTGGGTTGCTGCCCCTGAATTGGTAATTTTAAGAAAATTTTGCAGCTTTTGGTTATTATCTTGAATATTATTTTAGATAGAGATAAACTGTAAACAGCAATAATGTACAGCAAAGTAAGATCTACAAATACGTCAACATGACCAAAATTGTCAATTGAACCCTTAAGGAGTTATTGCCCTTTATGGTCAATTTTTTACAATTTTCATAAATTTTGTAAATTTTTGTAAATTTTTACAAAATATTTTCCACTGTAACTACTGGGCCAAGTTCATTATTAGATAGAGATAATTGTAAGCAGCAAGAATGTTCAGTAAAGTAAGATCTACAAACACATCACCATCACCAAAACTTAATTTTGTCATGAATCCATCTGTGTCCTTTGTTTAATATGCACATAGACCAAGGTGAGCGACACAGCCTCTAGTTTGTACCTGTCAGACACCTACCTCTTGTTTGCTGATACTTAAAATTTTTCAATATGTTGAATGAACTTTATAAATTTGGTCGCACATTTTACCAGCGCTACTGAATAGAATATTCAATATTTGGTCAGCAGCACAACAGTGATGAGTTAAAATTTGTGAGCACTTTTCAGATCTGTCAAAAACCTAGTTCCTGTTTTCCGATACTTTAGGTTAGGAATGGCAGTATTTATACACAACAATGTGTGTATTCTTCTTTGATTTAATTTAATTGTTTTTGAAAATGAGAATGACCTCAGTTTTCATATAGTCAACTGTTCATTTTATCACCCCACCACTAGTTGAATGAATAAGGAACAATATTTTAAAGAACAATGAGAAACCTAATACAAAACTTTGGAGTTTTTAATGTCAAAGAGTAAATTTTTACCTTTGTAATTAAAATCATTGATACACAAAAAAATATTGCAGTGAAGTTCTATCCTAATGATTTTCAGAATAGGAATAATCTAAATTATTGTGTTATGGTAATTTAATGCTTAGGCATAATTTTTTTGTTTTGAATTTTCTTTGGAGTTCAAAATTTTTGTTATTTTACTTTTTATACGACCGCAAAAATTGAAAATTTTTTGGTCGTATATTGGTAAGACGTTGGCGTCGTCGTCGTCGTCGTCGTCGTCGTCGTCGTCGTTGTCGTCGTCGTCGTCGTCTGGCGTCGTCCGGCGTCGTCCGAAGACACATTGGTTTTCGCACTCTAACTTTAGTTTAAGTGAATGGATCTCTATGAAATTTTACCATAAGGTTCAATACCACAAAAGGAAGGTTGGGATTGATTTTGGGGGTTATGGTACCAACAGTTAAGGAATTAGGGGCCAAAAAGGGGCCAAAAATAAGCATTTTTGTAACTTCCAGACATAACTTGTGTGTTAGTGTATGGATCTCTCTGACATTGTACCACAAGGTTCCATATCACACAGGGAATGCTGGGATTAATTTTGGGGGTAATTGCCTCAAAATATTAGAAATAAGGGGCCAAAAAAGGGGCAAAAAACAAGCATTTTTTTAGTTTCATGACAATAACTTGTGTGTAAGTGTATGGATCTTTCTGAAATTGTACTACAAGGTTCCATATCACAAAGGGAAAGCTGGAATTGAGTTTGGGGGTAATTGCCCAAAACGTTTAGGAATAAGGGGCCAAAAAGGGGCCAAAAATAAGCATTTTTCTAGTTTCCAGACAATAACTTGTGTTCAAGTGTATGGATCTCTCTGAAATTGTACCACAAGGTTCCATATCACACAGGGAATGCTGGGATTGATTTTGGGGGTAATTGCCCAAAACGTTTAGGAATAAGGGGCCAAAAAGGGGCCAAAAATAAGCATTTTTCTAGTTTCCAGACAATAACTTGTGTTCAAGTGTATGGATCTCTCTGAAATTGTACTCCAAGGTACCATACCACAAAGGAAAAGCTGGGATTGAGTTTTGGGGTGATGAATCATAAGGGGGTTCAAAAAATTTGGGGGGGGGGATTTTTTTTTTTTTCCTTTTTTTTTTCTTTTAAAATTTTCCATTTTAAGTTGGTTATTTCTGTTTTATATTTAAAAGCAAATAATAACGATATGGTAGGAGATACACACCAAACAGGATGTGTAAATTATTATAAAATAAGTATTGTGCAATAGCAAGAAATTTTCAATTGCACAGTATTGCACAATAGCAAGAAATCTTCAATTGCACAGTATTGCGCAATAGCAAGAAATCTTCAATTGCACAGTATTGTGCAATAGCAAGAAATATCCAATAGCACAATATTGCGCAATAGCAAGAAATTGTCAATTGTACAGTATTGCGCAATAGCAAGAAATATTCAATTGCACAGTATTGTTCAAAAGAAGATACTTCGTATAAATTGCTTATTTCTTGACCAATTTCAATGGGGTTTTATTCTTGAATTCTTGGGGTTCTTTAATATGCTGATTCTAACCGTGTATTAAGTTTTTGGATTTTGGGCCCCGTTTTTAAATTGGTCCACATTGAGGTCCAAAGGGTCCAAAATTAAACTTTGTTTGATTACATCAAAAATTGAATTATTGGGGTTCTTTGATATGCCAAATCTAACCGTGTATTTAGATTCTTAATTTTTGGTTCTGTTTTCAAATTGGTCTACATTAAGGTCCAAAGGGTCCAAAATTAAACTTAGTTTGATTTTAACAAAAATTGGATTCTTAGGATTCTTTGATATGCTGAATCTAAACATGTATTTAGATTTTTTATTATGGGCCCAGTTTTCAAGTTGGTCCAAATCGGGGTCCAAAATTAAACTTTGTTTGATTTCAACAAAAATTGAATATATGGGGTTCTTTGATATGCTGAATCTAACCATGTATTTAGATTTTTGATTTTTGGGCCCCATTATCAACTTAGTCCACATTGAGGTCAAAAGGGTCCAAAATTAAACTTTGTTTGATTTCATCAAAAATTGTATTCTTGGGGTTCTTTGATATGCTGAATCTAACCATGAATTTTGATTTTGGATATTGGACCATAATAGTTGAATGTCCAATTTAAAATTTTTAAGTTCTTAGACCACATTCATTCTGTGTCAGAAACCTATGCTGTGTCAAATATTTAATCACAATCCAAATTCAGAGCTGTATCAAGCTTGAATGTTGTGTCCATACTTGCCCCAACTGTTCAGGGTTCGACCTCTGCGGTCGTATCAAGCTGCGCCCTGCGGAGCATTTTATTATATGGTATTTTTGTTATTTTACTTTTTATTTGGTATTGTTGTTATTTTACTTTTTAGTATGATAGTGTTTGAAATGTTATCAAAATTTTAATTGCAACAAATCTAACACATTGTAGAGTAATCTATGATTTTAATAACCATTTTCATTTTTGGAAAGAAAACAAAATTTATACCATAACATTTATTTACAGGAGAGTTGCATGTTGTTTCCAGGTAAAATGGACAAATGGTAATTTCCTTTATATTATCTACTAACGTTTACATTTGTTTACAGGGCAGTAGCTATACTGCGTCAGGCTTCAGCTACTAATCATGTTGTCATGGTGATATGTAGAGATCAAATAGCAAGGTATGATGGGAATTCTCAAAATAGCTTGTAGATTATGAATTTAAACTTTTATTCCTTTCGACTCATTTCATAAAAAATCTTACGAGTAATTGAGAAAAATTACTCCTAAGATATGAAAATTTCATTATAACTTATGATCAATTTTCGTCGTAAGATTTTTCGTGAAAAGAGCCCCTGATGTATATTTGATTTTATAGGGGTTTTGTTTTACTTTCTTTTAAAAATGTCGCTGAAAATTCATCTGATTACCAATTAATAACTATTGTTGGAACTAAAAGATAAGTGGAAGTTGTTACCTAAAAAAATTTTAAGTAACAGCATCTTGTGAATTGAATATATGTATTTTTTCTATGCATTTAATATTTATATTTATTATTATATAAATTTTAGAGGTATATGCATCAATGGTGGAAAACATAGTAAAGGTGCTTTATAAGCTTGCTTCTATGCTAACAGTCAAACAAATATGATTAAAGTAACACAATACACATTCAGATTTATATATCAATTCAGATCATTTTATATTGAGTAAAACTAATTAACCGTAATTATAGATTATCGTTGGTTATCTCAACGAGATTGATTTTCTTGCTTGAGCCGGTATGGCGAAAGCGAGAAAAGCAATCGAGTTGAGATGACCAATGATAATCTGTTTATTGCTATTTTACCTATGAAGACGTTGTTAATTTCCTTGACAACGGCACGTGTTCCCTTAGTTTCTAGCGATAATTTTCATATCACTCGACTCCGCTGAGAACGGAAATTATCAGTCAGCAAGATCAAAGGAAAAATTCGTAAAATAGCGATGAATATAGATTCCACCACTGTATCAAGTGTGGTACGATATTTATCCACTCGAGACAGTTAGATTTTCAAATTTAAAACGTGAGGCTTGCCAAGCGTTTTAAATATTTTAAATTTAACTGTCGAGAGTGGATAAATATCATATTGCACAAGATTTGGTGGTGGAATCTGTTTCTCTAATGATTTTTAAACAATATGCAGACAAAATCAATCCTTCTTTTTGAATGATCTGCAAAAAGATGTGTTTTTTATGTGTGACGTCATCAGGCATGGTTGCCTTTTTTCATGATGTCAGAATAGGAAATTCAGTGGAAAGCAAGAAAATTTTACGTCATAAATAAGAATAATCAATTGGACAGGAAAAGGATAAATCGTGTAAGAATTAGAGAAATTGATTAAACTATTCCATGCCTCAATTAATCAATTGCGATATGAGAAAATTGAAATTAATTGGTGTTATAATGCTTTTTGTTCAGAATTTAATGCAAGTTATAGTTGATATAGTACATATATATCATTGCTTTTTTGCCAAAAAAAAAACAACATAAAAAAATCATAATTTACAGATATTGATGCTTAAAACCATAAAAACGGAATTATATTTTTTTCCAAGCATGTTTAATTGCACAAGTTCAAAGCTCATCTTGTGGTGGGTTTTTAAAACAAACCAGGGAAAAACAAGAGTTTTAAACATATTATGTACCTAGAGACAGTCCATGTATAAGAAATTTTTTTTCTAGGAATTAGTTGTTTGTTTTTTACAGGAATGAATTCCAAGAGATAATTGAGAAACAAAATGGGTACAGTTTCCCATGTACACCTGTTCCAAATGATTCTCAAAACAAGTCTACATCAAGGGCAACAACTCCATCTGGATATGGTAAGCAGATAGTCATCTTAATCATGTGTCAAGTTATTATGTTATTGGTGTTAATTTATTTATTTATTCTTTATGATCTTTGTAGAAAAAAAGGATGCAAACAAAGAGATATTCAGCTAGATATCCCAGTCTTTTTCCATGGCATATGCATGGCTAAAAGATCATTCTGAAAAATCATATCTGATAAATGTGTAAAATGTATTTCTTTTAGAATAAATTTTCTTGATTTGTAATGTCTGTTTTTTATACCCCCGCTTTAAAAAAAGGGGGGGGGGGGGTATACTGTTTTACGTCTGTCTGTCCTTCCGCCAGTCCATCAGTCCCATGAATATTTTCGTCGCATTTTTCTCAGGAACTACTTAACAAGGATTTCTGAAATTTGGTTTTAGTGTTTATATAAGTAAGTTACACCGTGTGATACGTTTTCAGATTCATCACTCAACAACTTCCTGTTTACCGAACACTTGTATTATTTTACACATGATAGCCAAGTTGAAAATTTTCGTCACATTTTTCTCAGGAACTACTTGATAAGGATTTCTGAAATTTGGTTTCAGGGTTTATATCAGTAAGTTACACCGTGTGATGGGTTTTCAGATTCATCACTTAACAACTTCCTGTTTACCGAACACTTGTATTATTTTACACATGATAGCCAAGTTGAAAATTTTCGTCACATTTTTCCTAGGAACTACTTGACAAGGATTTCTGAAATTTGGTTTCAGGGTTTATATAAGTACTTTACATTGTGTGATGCGTTTTCAGATTCATCACTCAACAACTTCCTGTTTACCAAACACTTGTATTATTTTACACATGATAGCCAAGTTGAAATCTTTCGTCACATTTTTCTCAGGAACTACTTGACAATGAATTCTGAAATTTGGTTTCCGGGTTTATATAAGTCAGCTATACCGCGTGATGTGTTTTCAGATTCATCACTCAACAACTTCCTGTTTACCGAAATATTTTGGCGGGGTATCATCAGTGAGCAGTAGCTCACAGTTTTACTTGTTTTTTTCTGTTAAGAGTAGAATGAAATTTGATGTCATGTTGGTTCATTTTGGAAGACATGGTTGGTAGTTTAAAAATTCTGGTAAACCATGCAGTATATAATACCTCTATTAAATATGTAATCATTTCAGGCACAGATACTCATAGAAAATCCCCAAATGTAGACCAAGATAGTTCTCTCAGTGATGGCAAAAATAGTCCCAGAGAAATCTCAGGTTCCAGTTCTAGTCCCAGATATTCTTCGCAGGTAATGAATAAGCCAGGTTTTACTGTAAAATAGCACAATTTTATTAAAAATTTCATCAAAGTTTTGTTATTACGTACTAAACTGGCCTATTGTGATGTACAAATTGGTAAAGTTTCACATATTTCACATGTTACCTGGAATCCAACTAACTTGATCAGATTCATTTCCTCTATACAACTTCACCACTGGTAATTTCTGTATTAAATTTTGTCATCTTTTTCAGTGCTTTGCTGCTGTCATGATCTATAACATACACTTCTTTAATTCTCTGTTGATTAATTTAGAATTCATTCAGAAACTAAGGGATCATAGATTTATTCTTACGAGGAAGCTCCGAGCATGCTCTGAGGATGCTCGGAGCTTTTTTAGTAGGCTCTTCTCAGCAGTTTATGTGACAATAATTATCATGATCCATTAAGATGTCAATCAAATCTATAGCACTTCTATAATAAGGAAAGTAGAGCATTATAGAGGAAGCTCAATTAACACCTGTGTAAACATCTGGTCTATTCAAACAAATCTTGCATCAATTTTACAAAACTATAAAATAGATGAGATATTCTTCAATATTACTGTACAATACTTGGAAAGAAATATCAAGTCTTTACAGAAAGAAAATGTTTTTACAACATTTTCTTAATATTTATCCTTCTTTTTCAATACACACGATACAAAAAAAATATTCAAATTTTATATTTCAAATATAAATATGTTTTAAATTTATACTATATAAAATGAAATATATAGTCATCAAAGACACAAACTATGGTAATTGATTTATAACCATACTACCTAAACATAGTACATTCAGTTTCATGCGAAAAAGGGGTGATCTTTTTTAATATCCCATTTAATTTGACAGTTGTTGGAAATTAACCCTCCATTTTATTGCAGAAAAGTTTTTTTTGAGTTGCAAACATGTATCTTGGGTGTTTCAAAGCAATTAAAATATTCATTTTGTAAACAGGGAAAAAAGGGGGAGAGAATTTGATTGGTTAACTTTTGGTGATGTTTACTTTCTTAAATGCACTGAGAAGTAATGTTATATTTTTACTGTAGTATAGGACAGGATAAAACTTTATTCATGTCAAGTATTTCTTTATGTAAAACATAGATAAATTCTGCAAATTTTTTTTGAAAATTACCAATTGAACAAAGACTTATAGGGGGAAAATAATTTTACTCATGCCAAGTATTTCTTTATCTAAAAAAAAAACATATTACCATTGTTTAGTTAGAGGCATTACTTAAATAAGTAATTTTCAAAATTACCAATATAAGTTATGTTGAAAATGAGTCCGTTTCAAATATTACTTCTATATCATAAATAAGTAACTTCTGTTAATATTATTTTTATAGGTGTCCATTCATACTGGTTTTACTAGCTTTAACAAATTTTACAGACATCTGGTTATTTTCCTCATGAAATATAAAACTATTTAAATCCTCCACAAGCACTAATTGCCTTTCTGATGCCACACTTCTTAGTCAAAGATTGGCCTCTTGGGGCTATTAAAATATCATTTCCCCTTAAAATCTTAGAGATAGACAGATCTAAATAAATGGAACCTTGTGATTTAATTATTATAATAAGACTTGAAGTTATTTATAATTTGAATCTTAATAAAAAACAATTACATATGTTCCTTAAATAATTGTAAGTTCTAAGTTTTTTGAAGTTGTATAAAATAATTTTTAAAAGTAATATTTTTGTCATTATTTTAAAAATAACCTCTCTATACTCATCTCAAATTGGATAAATACTTAATTTTATTTAATGAAATAATATAAAAATTCATAAAAACTACATTTAGTCCATGCTTCATTTGACATTTAAAATAACTTGAGTTATTAAATAATTTTTAAAAACAGAAAATACCTATATAAGTAACAAAAAAAATAACTTGTTAAGTATCGCCCCCTGACTGTTGTTTGTGTCTTGATAACTTTTATGTAGCATATCATATAATATAAACTATATTTAAATTTTATCATGTAATTATAAAATTTGAGAATTTTTTCATAATAAAAAAAGAAATGATTATTAAATATAAAAAAAAATATTTAAATGACTTTTACTTTTAGTGGAGACTTGATATTTCTTTCTTAGCATTACACAGTACTGTTGAAGAATTTCTAATCTATTTTATAGTTTTGTTAAATTTCATGCAAAATGTATTTGAATAGACCAGATGTTTACACAGGTGTTAATTGCGCATCCTCTATAATGCTTTACTTTCCTTATCATAGAAGTAATGTAGATTTGATTGACATCTTAACGGATCATGATAATTATTGTCACATAAACTGCTGAGAAGAGCCTACTTAAAAAGCTCCGAGCATCCTCAGAGCATGCTCGAAGCTTGCTTGTAAGAATAAATCTATGATCCCTAAATGCAATTAAGGCTCTGTTGATCTAAGATGATTTGGCCATTGTCTTTATATCCTATTTGGTAATGTTGCTGTTCAAATATTCAAGAATATGTACTTTCCTGAGCTGTAAAATTTTGGAGTTTTAGCTTTTCTGATGAAGGTAAACTCTACAATTCTAACTTCCTCAAGGAAAGTTTAACTTAGGTTTATTCGACTATTCTTTTAGGACCCTTTTTGGTCATGTAGCTGTTCAAATATTCAAATACATGTATATCCCATGCTTTCAAATTTTGGGGTTTTAGCTTTCCTGACAAAGGTAAATTCAGAAGCACTTAGGATACACTAAAGGTATTAAGTCTTTCTTTTGTTTAATATATTGCAAATGGGACATTATATTTAAAAAACTTTTGCATTCTTCCATCCCTCTAACCCCCTTTTCCACAGCTATTTTATATATTAAGATTTATCTTTAATATTACAAATTCCAGCTGGGATCTTTATATAAAAATGAGGGTATGTGGTATGATTCCCAATGAGACAACTATCTACCAGAGTTAAAATGAAATGGTAGTAAGCAATTATTAGCCTGCGTACAGCCATCAACAAATAGAGAAAAACCCATACTGTATAGTCGGCTATAAAAGGCTCTGACATAAAAATGTGATACAATTCAAATAATGAAAATAATGGCCTAATTTATAACAAAACAATTTACAAAAAACAAATATGACAGACATGAACCAATGACAACCACTGAACTACAGGTTCCTGACTTGGGACAGGCTCATAAAGAAGGGGTTCACATACATGTATATTTAACTTTGGAAAGTTTTGTGTTCATTCTTTTCAAAAAGTTATTTCTGTATTAAGCTGTAGGTATATTTATCATCATTTTAACATATTGTGATTTTCTGATATGTAGATAAATGGCAGTAGCAGTAGTGAGGACCATGTAAAATGTAATGGGGTTCCAAAAAGGACACACAGTGATCCACAGTATCGCATAATGATCCCAAGTATGGCCTCAACTCCACAGGTCAAAGGTTAGTATTAATGTGCTATAATGTGCATCAATAAGGACACACTACAGGAATCTTCAGTGTTGCATAAAGATTTTGAGACTACTTAAAAGGGATGTACATGTATATTGTGGAATTTTAGATTTTTATGAAATTATATCATCTGAATATACAAAATGACAGCCCCACGCATCAGTGGAGTTCTATTCTAGATATGATCATGCTACATATGTATATTAAAGAACACAACTGCAAGATAATATAAAAAAAGAAGCCATATAGAGAAACAAAATCAAACAAATATTGTCATACATAGTAGTGGTATGTGTTATCTTTTGCAAAAAACTTAATTTAAAATGGTTTTTTTTTCCAACTACAGCCGCAACAATCCTAAAAGAATACCGAAAACCAACTAATTTTCTCAAGCGATTTATTTTTGTTACTTTCTTGAGTAGAAAAATAATGCGAAAAGATATTATCACAAAGATGTAAAACTTAGATATCTCCTTATACAAATACATAAAAAAAAAAAAATTTGCGAAGCTTAAACTTAGTTGTTGTGATGTAGTCTAGAAAGGGCTAAACGTAAAATAAATTATTTGTGAAAAAAAAAAAATTTGTTTACAGTAATTTAGATAAATGAATTTGATGACATTTGTTAATGAAAATATTTTTTCACTTTGTTTATAGGTTCTGTTAGTTCCAGACCAAGAGAGAGTTTAAGCTCTCTATCATCCATGTTACCCCCAGAGGACATATCTCCTGTACCTGGGGTCAGACCCTTGCATGGGTTATCAAACAGCGACGCATCATCAGTTTTCACTCACCAGAGTCATAGCCGATTACCAAAGTCCAAAGACATGTCACAGTCACGCAAGCTGTCACTAGATCCACATGTACGATTAAAGATAGACAAATTGGAAGTTGTGAGTATTAGATATAATGAATATTATCATATTTCTGAAAAGGTGATTGCCGTGATACAGCCTTTTTGTGCTGAGGCGGCTTATAGCAAACACCAATCAATCAATCAATCTAAAAAGGTGAAAGATCAAAGTTTTTAGGGTTTTCCAGTTGAGTATAATATATATTGATGTGAATACCAGCCTGTGTTTACTGATATTCCAGGAAAAATATGAAGAGGGGGGGGTTGGACACTTTTTTGTATACCCTACCACCCATAATTTTTATTTTCTTTTGTTACAGAATTGTTTTTGCTTCCATCCATATTACCCACAAATTAAAGTATTATGTGATGTCCAACCCTGATATACATTTTTTTTCTTGGAATAGCCCTTATGAAACCTAAATATATAGTTTAATATGTTGTTCATGTAGTGTTGTGGTTAGAACTGTTGAAAATGAAACACAAGATGATAGAAAGAAAGAAATTCCTACAAGAAACCTAGGTTCAAATATATTTTGTCGGCATGGCAAATATTTTCAATACTTCCAACTAAAATCTAAGGACTGTGGATTCATTGTTATTCGTGGGATGCCATTGATCAAAGATTTCGTGGGTAATTTAAACGACAAATTTAAATGTTCTGTGAAGTACAAATTTTGTATAGGCTTACATGCAGACTTTGGCAACACCACCAATTGAAATATCCACGAAAATATTTATAAGTTTTACCTTAATCCACAAAAATTGGTACTCATGAAAATAAATGAATACACATTAAGATAAGAAATGAGGTCATAATTTAGATATATCACCTCAGTAAATATCCATAATACAGCTGGTAATAAAGGTGAGATAAATTATTATTTAATAACCTGTAGCAGGTTAAAAAATTGAGTGAAGTAGTGTAAAAAGTAAGACAAGATGGATAACTAAGGGAGTTAAATGATTTTCAGATTTAATAAACAATCACAAAAAATGCTCTGGATAGGTCTATCACTTAAAAATAATGTGTAATTTGGATTGTTTGGCATTTGTCATTTTGGGGCCTTTTATAGCTGGCTGTGTGGTTTTGCTCATTGTTGAAGGACGTACGGTGACCTATAGTTGCTAACCTTATACATCATTTGGTCTATTGATGAAAGTTGTCTCATTGGCAATCATATCGCATCTTATTTTTCAGTCTCCCAAACAAAGTTTGGGAAGACTTATTGGTTTTGCTCAGTTATTATTATTATTATTCGTGCTCTTCCGCCACTTTTTTTAATGAACTTGTCCGCACCATTTCTCCAAAACCGCTAGTCAGATTTACTTAAGGTTTCACAATATGTTGGATTAACATGTCTAGTGGTGCAATCAGGGTTTCGTTTGTGCATTGGGGTCTAAAAAGGGGTACTTTGAGGGGTAAAAAGAAGGGAGGGGTTTACTATAGAACCCTATGGGATTTTTTTTTTTTTTTTTTTTCAAATGATTATAACTTAAAAAACATTAGTGATAGACACAATCTTTATAAATGAAAATGTTCTACATGATAAAGCACATCTAATGAAATAAAGGGTTCGTCCCCAGGGGTCACCCCACCCCTGCCATTTGACAAAGTTGTAATATCTTGTAAGTGGTCAAGAACCCCACCCCTAAACCATATATATTCCGGTTAGTCATGATACTGCACATTAAATGAAATAAAGTATTAGTCCCCAGGGGTCACCCCCGCCCCCTGCCATTTGAGAAAGTTCCAATATCTTGTAAATTGTTGAGATCCCCTCCTCTAAACCATATATATTCTGGTTTGTCATGATAAAGCACTTCAAATGAAATAAAGGGTAAGTCCCCAGGGGTCACCTCCACCCCCTGCCATTTGAGAAAGTTCTAATATCTTGTAAATGGTTGAGATCCCCTCCCCTAAACCATATATATTCCTGTTCGTCATGTCACAAAGATTCTAATGATATATAGGGTCAGTCCCCAGGGGTCCCCCCACCCCCAATGACCTAATATCTTGTAAATGGTCGAGATCCCCACCCCTAAACCATATATATTCTTATTCGTCATGCCAAGAAGATTGAATGATATATAGGGTCAGTCTCTAGGGATCACCCCCACCCCCTGCAATTTGATAAAGTTCTAATATCTTGCAAATGGTTGAGAACCCACCCCTAAACCATATATATTCCTGTTCGTCATGTCACAAAGATTCGAAAGATATATAGGGTCAGTCCCCAGTGGTCCCCCCACCCCGATTGATCTAATATCTTGTAAATGGTAGATATCCCTACCAGTAAACCATATATATTCTGGTTTGTCATGCCAAGATGATTTGAATGATATACAGGGTCAGTCCCCAGGCATTACTAATGCATATAACTTTACTGGACTTTGCCCAATGTCAGGCGAACCTGGGAATGACAAATTATGGGAGCTTCGTTTGGGAGACTTCGTAACAGCATCCTGTTACAATAATTTCTTGTTATATTCTAGGCATTACAGTATCTTGGTCTGGAGCCCAGTGCTGAACAACAGTCAATAATGAGAAACAGGCTACATGTGGACTCATCTGGGACTGTCAACTATGGAGGTTTGTATATGTCATTCCTATGCTAGGATTTCTTAGGGCTATTCCATTAAAATGTATGTCGGAGGGTAGGAAGGGAAGTTTAATTATTGAATGTGGGTGATGGGTCTTTTTTCAGTATGCGTCTATTACCATTATGCAAAATTATCTAAAAAATGGTTCTTGGTTGTAGGGAAATTTTGAAAGTGCCTTCCTACCCTCCCACATACATTTTAATGGAATAGCCCTTATTGTTCATGGGGTACTTATTTTTATGGATTCTTGGATAAATATTAAATACAAATTTAAATGTTCAATAGAATAACATTTCTTACCAGCTTGTATGCAGAAGTGTTAAAACTAGGAATTAAATTTTGATGGAAATATGTGAATTATACAATCCACAAAAATTAGTACCCGTGTCCATTAATTACTGTGGATTCATTTTTTTTTTTTTTAGAGAAATACGAGCTAACAGAAAAGAAATGATATGAAATAAGAAGTTTTAAAAGGAAAAGAAAATTGTGATTAACGGAAATATATAGATATATAATTTCTCTTTTTGCACTCAATTAGGTGTATTAACACTGAGAGTCAAACCTTAGAGTTAAGTGTGAATGTTTTATGGATTTGAATATGCAATGAGTCAAAATCACCGGAAATAACATATTGACCTTGACTTTAAAGTGTGAATGATCTTTTCATTAAATTTTTGTAAATGAGGAAATATTATAATTGAAAAATAGGATTCACACCTTGGTTTAAAGTGTGAATAATCTTGTTAAGGAATATAAAGTGATATTTGGGATATGAATGAAAATAAGGAATCGTTCCTTGGTTTTAATATGAATGAAACTAAGATCTCACTCCTTGGTATTAATATGAATGAAAATTAAAAGTCACTCCTTGGTATTAAATATGTGAAAGATTCCTTCTATATAGGGGAATAAATGACGGAAAGTAAGAGGACACAATGTTGGATAAATCGCTTTTAGCACTAAGGTTATGTGGTTGTGTATCTTAATCTTAAATGACCACAAGTCAGCTAGACAGGGATTAGGCCCCAAAACAGGTTTGCAGAGCAGTCAATATATATATTTTTTAAGAAGGTTTCAATAAACACACACATATATGTTTTTGGCCTAAACTCCAAAAAAGTACCATAAAAATAAGTAAAAAGTAAATAAGCTCAACATCAGTTTTATAAAATGTCGTCTAAATTTGGAAATAAAGACGTTAATTGAACACAAAGTTTACACAGAACACAACTGACAATAATTTATTGTATAATTCGTTCCACTGTGCAAGAGTGCTAACACATGATGGCAGAATAATTTTAACAAACATTTTAACAACAAAAACATTGTATTTTTATTTTTATTCTATTTTATTTTAATAGTCATTGATAGTTTACTTCCATATATACTTACTTTCACTTTCTCTTTCAATTGCTATTTATAACGTTACTCACCATAGCAACATTGTGACGTTTTAATTTTCTCAACCTGATTTTGTACCTCAGCATGATTTTATGTATTGTTTTCTATCCTGATGATGGTGGCGTAGCCACCGAAACATGTCGATCTCAATAAATTACTGGAGCATTCCTTAAAGTGTTGTTGTTTGTTACTGGTCCTTCTACATTTTATAAGTTTTATAAATTGTTTAAAACTTTTGCGTTTTAGATTTTGTTGTGATTGCAAAGGAAGTATTCCGTCATGAGTTAGAAGAGCGGAACATTACAACAGGGACTATGTTATTTGCTGCCAGTGATCTGACTGATTTAGTTGATCCTCCTCCATTCAGACCAGAGGTATACACTTATATACAACAATACTGTCTTATTTTTAGGACAGATGAAGAATCCAGTGAAAAAAAGTAAAATCTAAGGACACGTCACATGCAGTGTCCACTAGAAGTCAACTTTTAAAAATGAATAATTAAAGTATGTCACAGGCAATTATTTCTTACAAAATGCATAGTGAGTATAGTCTATTGTCAGACTGTTCTAAAAATGTGGAGAAATAAACAAAACATCAGTTATTCGATTTTTACCTAGGCAAAGTTAGACATAAATGCAATTTGTATACTCCTCCTTACAGAATCTTGTGTTCTTTGGAGAACATTTCAATCCATTTTTCTATGATTCAGTATCGATTAAAAACAAAATTTGTGAAACTTCATAGTGAATAAGGATATATCTACAAAATAAACACAAAATGTAAACTTTTGTTTGTTCCTTGAATTAAAGTAGGTGAAAACACTGTCAAAATAGATGCAATTTGGGTACCCTCACGTTATCTGCATTATAACAGAGCTATTTAGAAGCTTTATAGGTATTAAAACACTATAAAAACCAAAGGTCAATGTCCAAAGGTCAATGTTTGGTCTTCTACAGTGAAAAAGTGTCTAAACCGTTAGTCAAGCTCTATGTCACCCTGAATCTCGACATTTTGTGTTCCCATTTAATATGTTTATTGATTTTAAATCTTAATAGTTGTTTTTATTACTGTGAATTCATTAAATTTGTGGGGTACCTATTTTTGTGGATTTCGTAATTAAAGGGAAACCACAAATTTAGATTTTCAACAAAGTACAATTTTCAATAGGCATTTATGGGCCAGCTGAAGGACGCCTTCGGGTGCGGGAGTTTCTCGCTGCATTGAAAACCCATTGGTGGCCTTCGGCTGTTGTCTGCTCTATGGTCGGGTTGTTGTCTCTTTGACACATTCCCCATTTCCATTCTCAATTTTATTGTATGCAGACATTTGACAAACCATGAAGTCAAATACACATGAAATACAATTTTTCCTTATTCTACGAAAATAAACGAATCTGGAGTACTTTAGATATATTTCAAATTGACTTCGCTAGAAAGCTTGGTTAAGATATGTATAATATTAGTGATAGGATTTTTTGTGTTATCGTTAAAATATTTATGGACTATTTTTTAGATGAGTAACATAACAGACATTCCAGAAAAAGAAGATATTGAATCGCTTCGTCTTGAAAGGGATCAGTTGAGAGATGAAGTTCAAAGGTTAAAGGTAAGGTCTTGATCTCAGAGTCAAACAGCCTAAAAATATATAGAATGCTGAAATATTGGATATTTCTTCTGAAAACATATTGTTTCATATACCAACTGATGAGATTCTGCCTTGTCAGCTCATAGCTTGTATAGTCCTGTTCACACTATGGAAAAAGAATGTCCACATGAGCTGCAGTGTAACCTAAAGTCACTATGTTTTGTTTTTCTATTTTAAGGATGTTCGCTACTCTGTTTCAAAATAACAAAATTTAAAAAAAAATGTTATAAATTAGTAGTATATAAATAAAGGAACTATAAAAGCAGAAATAAATGAAGGGTCCGTGTGATTGTTTTCTAGATATAAGCCATTGAAAATTTGGCGGGAAAATGATTCTCTCTAGATTTTTCATACATTTCACATTGGCACCTTTTTTCTTTCAAAAAGTATGAAAAAATAACAAAGATTTAATAAGATTTTCAAAGGTGGCATTTTAAACTATTTGTAATCAAATTATAAAAAGAAAAGTAGGGGTTAGTGGGCAATTTTTTTTAATGGCACTTCATGGATGAAACCAGAGGATTCCGAATATCTGACAAAAAGTCAAAAACAAGTGTAGCGATCATCCTTAATACCATAAATAGAAATACATAATTGAAATTGAAAAATCTCATTACTTCAGTTCTTGAATTATTTAAATAATTTTTACTTGGTGAAATCAAAATTGAAAAAAGTTCATTGATATCACATTATTAATGTTTCATTTAAAAGAACCTAGCAATTTTGTTTTAAAAAATAACAGTTTGTTAGATAGAGCTTTGTAAAAATTTAAATGCAAATTATAAGTGGCAAGAACCCATTGACTAAGTTATTTTTTTCAGTAGTTAGAAGCTATTAAAATAAACAATTTTTGTACATTACAGAATGCTTTAAGTGAAAAAGATCACTACCAAACTGTTGCTGAAGGAGAGTTGGCCAGAATTAAAAAGGTGAATATTTTCATTCATATTTCCTTGCATATATGTTATTTTGATTTTTTAAAATTAATATACTTTTTTCAATGTATTTTCAGCTACGTTTCAGAGTTTACTTAATTTGATGTGTGTTGACATCTAGTGAACATAATGATATGGCTCGATTTTTTAGCATTTTTTTTGTAACTGTTAAAGATATTACACTATGTGTACTTCAGTTCTTAACAACGAGTCACATGTCAACTTTGGTCAAGTTGGTCTGCTTTTAATAGAATCATAGCCAATAACTTTCTATTGTTTTTTTTCCCCAAGACGACACAAACATAGTTTTTCAATAATAATTGTGGAGACAAGCAACTCTTTGAGAACTGTATAAGTTCTATAATGTAATATGTGATTGCGTCTAATAGATATAAGAAGATGTGGTATGAGTGCCAATGAGACAACTACACCACTTACTGCACTTGAATAGATATGAATAAAAGGAAATATGTGAAGTATGTCAATGAGACAGTAACCCAACAATAGATAAACACAAAAGATTTCAAACTCTGAATCATACTTAGTCTAGAAAATTTGTAAATAATCAACATATTACTAAAGGTCAGTAAATTACACCTCCAAAAACATTATTCTTTAATTGTAAATTATATACTGTATATCAGGAAGTTTTCGTGTGTCCAATTTTTTTGCCATTTTTGTCGAGCCTGCGACTTTTGTCGCAAAAGCGACACATAGCGATCCTACATTACGTCGTTGGCGTCGCCAGCGTCTACAAATATTCACTCTGTGGTTAAAGTTTTTCAAATTTTAATAACTTTCTTAAACTATCCTGGATTTCTACCAAACTTGGGTAGAAGCTTGTTTATGATCATAAGATAGTATCCAGAAGTAAATTTTGTAAAAAAAAAAATCCTGTTTATCCGTATTTTACTCATAAATGGACTTAGTTTCTCTGCCAGTTAACATTACTTTTACTCTGTGGTCAAAGTTTTTCAAATTTTAATAACTTTTTTAAACTATCCTGGATTTGTACCATACTTGGACAGAAGCTTGTTTATGATCATAAGATAGTATTCAATAGTAAATTTTGTTAAAAAAAAAATCCTGTTTATCCATATTTTACTTATAAATGGACTTAGTTTTTCTGCCAGTTAACATTACATTCACTCTGTGATTAAAGTTTTTAAAATTTTAATAACTTTCTTAAACTATCCTGGATTTGTACCATACTTTGACAGAAGCTTGTTTATGATCATAAGATAGTATTCAAAAGTAAATTTTGTTAAAAAAAAATCCTGTTTATCCGTATTTTACTTATAAATGGACTTAGTTTTTCTTCCAGTTAACATTACATACAGTCTGCAGTTAAAGTTTTTAAAACATTTATTGTCGAGCCTTCGACTTTTGTCGAAAAAGCGAGACATAGCGATCCTACATTCCGTCCGCGTCGTCGTTGGCGGCAGCGGCGGCGGCCACAAATATTCACTCTGTGGTTAAAGTTTTTAAAATTTTAATAACTTTCTCAAACTATCCTGGATTTCTACCAAACTTGGACAGAAGCTTGTTTATGATCATAAGATAGTATCCAGAAGTAGTTTAAAAAAAAAAAATACCTGTTTTTCCACATTTTACTTATAAATGGACTTAGTTTTTCTGCCAGGAAACCTTACATTCACTCTGTGGTTAAAGTTTTTAAAATTTTAATAACTTTCTCAAACTATCCTGGATTTCTACTTAACTTGCACAAAAGCTTGTTTATGATCATAAGATAGTATCCAGAAGTAAATTTAAAAAAAAAAAAATCCTGTTTTTCCGTATTTTACTTATAAATGGACTTAGTTTTTCTGCCAGGAAACATTACATTCACTCTGTGGTTAAAGTTTTTAAAATTTTAATAACTTTCTTAAACTATCCTGGATTTGTACCAAACATGGACAGAAGTTTGTTTATGATCAAAAGCTAGTATCTAGAAGTAAATTTTTATTAAAATTTTGTACTTGTTTATCCATATTTTACTTATAAATGGACTTAGTTTTTCTTCCAGTTAACATTACATAAAGTCTGCAGTTAAATTTTTTAAAACTTTTATTAGATTCATAAACTATCCTGGATTTTTACCAAACTTGGACAGAAGCTTCTTACAATAAAAAAATTGTATCGAGAGGGATATTTTTATTAAATTTTTTCCTCATCTCATCTTTGTTGAGCCTGCGATTAACAGCAAAGTAGGCGAGACACTGGGTTCCGCGGAACCCTTACGTATTTTTAGGTTCATAAACCATCCTGGATTCTTACCAAACTTGAACAGAAGCTTCTTACATTCAAAAGATAGTATCTAGAGGAAAATTTTTGATAATTATTTCCCCATTTTTGTTGAGCTTGCAACTAACAGCAAAAGTAGGCGAGACACTGGGTTCCGCGGAACCCTTACGAATTTTTTGGTGGAATACTTTTTACTGCCAATATTTCACTGTTATTCAAATGCAATGCTTTTGAATGTACAAAAATGAACAAAGTGAAAATTAAACTGGCCCTTTTAAGGCACAAACTGAAAAAAACAACCTGATGTACAATATTAAATATGCATGTTGTGAATAAGTCAGGTGCTTGGTAAAAATAGTTGGGTGGAGGCTGGTTTGTTGTACGATACAGGTGTCAAATGTACATCTTTTTATTAACAGAGAGCCATTGGAGCAGTTGATGAAACAAGGTCACTCAGAGACAAAGTACAGCTAGCTGAACAGGCTCAAAGGGCTGCTAGAAGTATGGAACAAGATTATGAGGAAGTTGTCCAGTTATTAGAGAAAGAAATTGCTAAACTTAAGCAACAGTTAAGATTTCAAGGGGTAAGGTTATATATATTACCGTTCCTACTCGCTTATTAGTAGGAAAATTGGGAGTAAAATTCATAATCCAGAGAGGGGGGCCGACTAATAGACAAGATCTAGCGACCAGAGGAAAAATCCAAGCTTGAGAAAAGTGGTCAGGAGTGAATTTCCTGGTCAAAACTACGTTTTTGATTGCCAAACCTACATAAATCAATAAATAAAAAGTTTTTGTTGAAAATAAATGACTACAATACTGTCTTTGTGTTTTATTTGTTCCATGGTAAACATTTTCTGCAAATTCGTGTTGAAATTCTACTGTTTCCGGTTTGAGTATTGATTTTCATGGTCACATGGTTTTCCTATAAACCCAAAAGAAGAGCCAAGAACCAAAAATGAAAAGGAGATAACAATGTACCAAATATGTGAAAGGATGTTTTCAGCAGAGTTATTGTGTCATTATTGTGATATCATGATATCAATTCAATGCTTATAAATCATATAATAATCAAAAAATAATTTTAAGATTCATTCCCAAAATCAAAATATTATTCATTAAAGTGTCTCAGGTAAATAAAAATTACAAAATTGATTGACAAGCCAATATAATCCATTGATAACCCCAATTAAGAGACAAAGAGTTGTATTTACTAAAGGTGTGAAAACTATCAGTGATAGGTAAACAGATGACACTAATGAGTTGGAGTTAGTTATTTTAATATATTGATTAGCTTCACTTAATTTTTTTAATCCTTTAATCATCACAATATAATAAGAATTATGAAGTGTACATGCTCATTTAACACCGAGTTATGTATGCTGTGAAAAATATTTTCATCAAATGTTGATTGACTTTTAATTTTTCAGGTTCATATTGGTTTATATTCGCTTTTCTCAAACAATAGGTTGTTAGTCATACCCTACAAAATCATTGATGCATTACGTAAACAATACATGGCTAATCAAACATTTGAACAGTGAACAAAACAAGAGAAATGAATACATCTTTATTATTAACAGCAATATAAATTATCATGATGAGCATCAACTAAATTCAAACCAAACAAACATTAATGCAGAAATGAATATTATTCCTGGATTTGCATTGGTTTTACCGGCGTTCAGTTACTGTCAGCTGAAAAAAAAAATGCCCAAATTTTGTCCGACTTATATGAGGGTCAAGACTAAATCCTTAGAATTTGGAGCTGAAAAGGGCACCCGACTTATAGTAGGATCGACTATTAGGCGAGTTTCTACGGTAATAATTAGCCTAAATGGTACATATATGCACTATACATGTTTTAATCAGTAGCCATAGTGTTGAATATTTATATCATTCTTAAAGCAGTTTTGACCTGTTGAATAGATTTTTATTATGCACCACCTACGATAGTAGAGGGGCATTATGTTTTTTGCTCTGTGCTTCCGTTCGTTCCTCCATCCGTCTGTTCGTCCGTCCGTCCTTTCGTCCATCTGTCCGGCTTCAGGTTAAAGTTTTTGGTCAAGGTAGTTTTTAATGAAGTTGAAGTCCAATCAACTTGAAACTTAGTACACATGTTCCTTATGATTTGATGTCAAATTAGAGTTTTTACACCAATTTCACTGTCCACTGAACATAGAAAATGATAGTGCGAGTGGGGCATCCCTGTACTATGGACACATTCTTGTTAACCAAACATTGATCAAATATTTTCATATGGGATGTCATGCCAAATCTCATTGTCAACTTCTAGAAAACAACTTGACAGAATTCAACCAAACTTGTACAGATTTTACAACCAGACATGAATTTGTGCAACTGCTATTTGAATAATTATTTTGGGATTCACTTTTCCCCACAAAATCCCCAAGAATCAGTACCACTGAAGATAAATCTAAAGTGTGTGTCACCTTACATGTCTTAAGTAATTTCTGTAAATGAGAACTTTAAATACTTTGACAGGAAGTTAATCCAGCTACACAACAAAAGATAGCGGTGTTGACCTGCCAGTTGAGAAAGTCAGAAGCAGGGAGGAAGACATATGAAGTGGCTACAGAAAAGTTGTTACAGTTTGCAGAGGTAAATTTGAGTGATATTCATGTATTTATGGACATTATTTTGTGTTATTATTTCCAAAGTACTGGGGATTATCTCCCTTTGTCAAACAATTTCTTTTTTGTATTGGATTATGATGATGATTGAGAATACAGATTCAAGCGTATTTCAAATTTATTAAAATTTTTCCAAGGTTTTATTTTTGCTTATATCCCCAATAAACTTCAATTGTAAATTGTTATATTTAAGGGAGAAATGGGTAATAGTCAGGAACAAGACAAATGGGAATATGAAACCTTGAAAATAGGTTTCAACTTTGAAATTGCAAAATTTAATCTATGCTAAAATAAAACAATTTTACAATATCTTGTTTGCTGTTGCGTTAGTTACCTGCATTTAAATTTAATTTAACTATGTTTCATTGGAACATGAAAATTTATTCTATGTGAAAAGAAAACCTTTTACAGTATCTTGTTTGGTGTTGTATAAGTATCCATGCATTTAATTTGATTATATTTTTTTTTCAGAATGTACATGAGATAATGACAGGAGGCAGTAATTTGTTATCTATTAGGTATGTAAACCAAGGATCTGGAAATTTTTCCAGACAATTTCGGTCATTTTGAGATGTTTGAAAAGTTGGTGCCCCTTTTCAAATTGTCGATACAACTTGACTATATTCATAGCATCAACGAACATGACGAACTTGTTTTGCTGTTTCATCGCATTTACTAAGTAAATGTCTTACCATTACCATGAAGGACAGTTTAGGGAAGGCAACAGTCTAAAATTGAAATGATTTTAATGACTCAAAATGGTTAATTTCTCAGATATTGCTTACGTTTCTTTCGATTTGACAAAAGTTAAAACCGGAAGTTTGCGATATTTTAAAGTACGAATAATTCCGGATTCATTTCCCGGATTTGTTTTGTTTATCAAATTGACAGGAAATCACCGGCTTTTTATGGCTTTTTTTATTTTATTACCTTTAAAAGTGTTTGAATATAACAGATAATAGTTGCACTCGTTTAATTTAGCATGAAATCAATTTGCATTTTACGATTAAATATTAAATTTGCTGAAGACAATTTCACGCATGCATATTACATAGTAAATAAAGCACATGTGTTACTCATGAAAAAATACTTTTTTCTACGTAAATTTAGATTTAATTTTTAAATCAGAATTGATGACTGTCTTTGATGAAAAGTAAATAAATAATGAATACACTTGTCAGGGAACTTTAATGATTTAAAGGTATTATTCTGAGCTTGTGATCACTGTCAGGTGTGAATTAAAACCACAGGTAAAAAGTGATTAGCGATCGTTAGCCAATGTTTCCCAGAGGCATTGATATAGATATTAGGAGGGTCCTCAGGATTATCAAACTACTGTAGTGGCAGTTTTATTACAGGAAAGGGATTATAAACAAAAACAAGTGATCACAAGTGCAAAATGGGGATTAAGAAATCCAATTTCAAACATTGAGTCAATGAAATGACCGAAATTACTTCTGTAAAAAAAAACAAAATTTGTCCTAAATCCCAATTACTCGTTTAGGACAAATAGTTTCATCTTAGGACATGACTGGCAAATATGACCGTTTCCGGATCCTTGATGTAAACAGAATAACAATTATATGGAAACTATTTTATACCATCTTGTTTTCGCAGAACCACTGCTATGTCTGTCCTTGCAGTTTTTTAACCACTAACACATGGTTTTGGTGGAGTAATGAGGACATCTCTGACCAAAGACGGACCAAGACAACATGGACCAATTTAAAGACAACTTGGACCACTTTTAAGAGACAACTTGGACCACTTTTTAAGACAACTCTGACCAGTAAGAAGACTGGTTGGGCACATATAATGGCACTTTTTAATCAGTTTAAAGGGTTTGAAATGTCTTTCAAACTGGCCAGAGTTGTCTTTATAAATTGTTCGAGTTTATTTTAAATTAGCCCAAGTTGCCTTGGTCTGACTTGTCTTTGGTCTTAGTTGTCATGTATTCTTGGTGGAATTTGAAATAACCTGTTTTCCTGGATTGTGGAAAACTTTTATTTTTGTGGAAAATTGATTTCCTTGATTTGCCAAAATCTGTATACTTGCCTTTAGAAAATGTGTACTTCATTGTGGTAAATCTATACCCACAAACTCCATGGAAATTAGTATCTAAGAATAATAATGAACCCACAGTAAATATGACTAGGCAAATTGATGTAAAAGCTAAATGTTAGGGATCATAGATTTATTCTTACGAGGAAGCTCCAAGCATGCTCGGAGGATGCCTGGAGCTTTTTAAGTAGGTTCTTCTCAGCAGTTTATGTAACAATAATTATCATGATCCATTAAGATGTCAATCAAATCTATAGCACTTTTATAATAAGGAAAGTAGAGCATTATAGAGGAAGCTCCATTAACACCTGTGTAAACATCTGGTCTATTCAAACAAATCTTGCATTAATTTTACAAAACTATAAAAGAGAGAGAAATTCTTCAATATTACTGTACAATGCTTGGTATCAAGTCTTCACAGAAAGAAAATGATTTTAAAACATTTTCTTAATAATCATCATTCTTTTTCAATACACATGATACAAAAAAACACTCAAATTTTATTTTTGAAATATAAATATATTTTAAATTTATATTATATAAAATGAAATATAAAAGTCATCAAAGACACAAACTATGGTTATTGATTTATAACCACACTACCAAAACATAGTACATTCAGTTTCATGCGATAAAGAGTTGATCTTTATTTATATTCCATTTAATTTGACAGTTGTTTGAAATTAACCCTCCATTCATTGCAGAAAAGTTTTTTTAAGTCGTAAACATGTTTCTTGGGTGTCAATGCAATAAAAATATACTATATTCTACAGGGAAAAAAGGGGGAGAGAATTTGATTGGTTAACTACTGGTGATGTTTACTTTCTTATATGCACTGAAAAGTTATGCTATATTTTCACTGTAGTACAGGACATTTATTTATGTCAAGTATTTCTTTATTTATAACATAGATAAATTCTGCACATTTCTAAATCTGCTCAATTAAAAAAAATGCCAAGTAAAGAGAGACGTACTAGAGGGAAAACAATGGTGGTATTACCCCCTCAAACCAGGCTTCCACTAATGAATTACAACTTTTCTTAAAGTAGCCATAATTTTCTATAAAAGAACTTAGTTTGCTTTTTAAAAAAAAAAACATATTACCATTGTTTAGTTAGGGGCATTACTTAAACAAGTAATTTTCAAAATTACCTCTACAAGTTATGTTGAAAACGAGGCTTTTTCAAATATTACTTCTATATCATGAATAAGTAACTTCTGTTAATATTATTTTTATAGGTGTGCATTCATACAGGTTTTACTAGCTTTAACAAATTTTCACAGACATCTGGTTATTTTCCCCATGAAATATACTGGTAAAACTATTTAAATCCTCAACAAGCACTAATTGCTTTTCTGATGCCACACTTCTTGGTCAAAGATTGGCCTCTTGGGGCTATTAAAATATCATTTCCCCTTAAAATCTTAGAGATAGACAGTTATAACTAGATATGGAACCTTTAAGACTTGAAGTTATTTATAATTTGAATCTTAATCAAAAGCAATTACATATATTCCTTAAATAATTGTAAGTACTAAGTTTTTTGAAGTTGTATAAAATAATTTATTAAAGTAATATTTTTGTCATTATTTTTTAAAGTAACCTCTCTATACTCATCTAAAATTGAATAAATACTTAATTTTGTTTAATGAAATGATATAAAAATTCTTAATAAAATGCTCCGCTGGGGCGCAGCTTGACACAATAGTACAATTTCATAAAGATCCATACACATGAACACATGTTATTGTCTGGAAACTAGAAAAATGCTTATTTTTGGCTCCTTTTTGGCCCCTTATTCCTAAACGTTTTGGGCAATTACCCCCAAACTCAATTCCAGCTTTCCCTTTGTGATATGGAACCTTGTAGTACAATTTCATAAAGATCCATACACTTGAACACAAGTTATTGTCTGGAAACTAGAAAAATGCTTATTTTTGGCTCCTTTTTGGCCCCTTATTCCTAAACGTTTTGGGCAATTACCCCCAAACTCAATTCCAGCTTTCCCTTTGTGATATGGAACCTTGTAGTACAATTTCAAAAAGATCCATACACTAACACACAAGTTATTGTCATGAAACTAGAAAAATGCTTGTTTTTTGCCCCTTTTTGGCCCCTAATTCCTAAACTTTGGAGGCAATTACCCCCAAAATCAATCCCAGCATTCCCTTTGTGATATAGAACCTTGTGGTACAATGTCAGAGAGATCCATACACTAACACACAAGTTATGTCTGGAAGTTACAAAAATGCTTATTTTTGGCCCCTAATTCCTTAACTGTTGGTACCATAACCCCCAAAATCAATCCCCACCTTCCTTTTGTGGTATTGAACCTTATGGTAAAATTTCATAGAGATCCATTCACTTAAACTGAAGTTAGAGTGCGAAAACCAATGTGTCTTCGGACGACGACGCCAACGTCATACCAATATACGACCACAAAATTTGTTTGCGGTCGTATAAAAACTACATTTATTCCATGCTTTATTTGACATTTAAAATAACTATTGAGTTATTAAATAATTTTTAAAAACAAAAAATACTTATAAAAGTGACAAAAATAAAATTACTTGTTAAGTATCGCCACCTGACTGTTGTTTGTGTCTTGATAACTTTTATGTAGCATATTATATAATATAAACTATTTTTAAATCATATCATCTAGTTATAAAATTTGAGAATTTTTTTTATTATAAAAAAAGGAATGATTATCAAATATAATAAGAAAATATTTAAATGGCTTACTTTTTGTGGAGACTTGAGATTTCTTTCCAAGCATTACACAGCACTGTTGAGGAATTTCTAATTATTTTATAGTTTTGTAAAATTTCATGCAAAATGTATTTGAATAGACCAGATGTTTACACAGGTGTTTATGAAGCTTCCTCTATAATGCTCTACTTTCCTCATCATAGAAGTGGTGTAGATTTGATTGACATCTTAATGGATCATGATAATTATTGTCACATTAACTGCTGAGAAGAGCCTACTAAAAAAGCTCCGAGCATCCTCTGAGCATGCTCGGAGCTTGCTCGTAAGAATAAATCTATGATCCCTTACAGGAAACGAAACCGCCTACGGTATTTTGATTGTTAAACGTCTTTGTATGATATATACTGTAAATTTAGAAATTATTTGCGATGTTTTTATTAATGCACAAAAATGGGGCAGTATCAGATTTGCAATAATAAAAACTTGCATTCATAATTAAGTCTCCCAAACAAAGTTTGGGAAGACTTATTGGTTTTGCTCAGTTCTTATTATTATGTCACCCGATCGACAATGTCGGGTGACATATTGCTTTTCCTCTGTTTCTTTGTTATTATTATTATTCTTCCAATGATTTTTGTCCAGCAGTTTTTTTGGAGCCAATGGAACCAATCATTATGATAGTTCACTATAATGAGGAACACAAAATTTTGGGTTGCAGTAGGTCTTAAGAACATAAAAAATGGC